AGAAAGAAAAAAAGAAAGAAAAAAAAAAAGAAAGAAAGAAAGAAAGAAAGAAAGAAAGAAAGAAAGAAAGAAAGAAAGAAAGAAAGAAAGAAAGAAAGAAAGAAAGAAAGAAAGAAAGAAAGAAAGAAAGAAAGAAAGAAAGAAAGAAAAAAAAGGCCATAAATGAAATAGGGAGAAATCTTGAAAGTAGACAAAATAACGAAGCAATATAGTATAAAGAATAATAAGTGTGAAAGCCATTCGTTTCAAGAAGAACGTTTGAAGCAGAAAATTGACTAGATTATGAAAATATTTTACTCCCACCGTGTACATAGGAAACTAGATAAATCCCAAAGAGCTTGCATTTTAAACCGTCAGTGACCAAATTTAGATGTTGAATAGGCATTTGATTAATACCATACATGCGAGGACACATTTTTTCTACATGTAAAATGTAATGCTTCATGCAGTTTATCGGTTTCAAATCTTCCAAACGACTTACGTTAAAGTCGGGCTTCATATACACCGCACAACTTCGTATGGTCTGACGAGACCCGCCTTATAAGAGTTTTAATGTATAGGGAAAAATATCAAAAATATTCTATCTATTTCCTTGAAAATTGAAAAAAATAGACTTTAATAGAACCTTGAGCCTCTTTAATTGAAACGCAAACGTTTTAGCAAAATTGTATATTTTCGTTTCAAAAAGTCATATTAAAATGAAAAGGATAATCAGAAGAAATATTACCGAATCTGTTCGTGCAAACTCTCTATGACGTCGTCACGTGTTCGAATCTCTCTATGAAAACGAGATTTTCTTTATATAACCTTTTGAAAATGAGTAAGTTATTCGGGGGATAACGGTATGAGATACAAAGAGACTTTATCTTAATGCATAAAATCGTACAGCAATTTGTAGAAAAGTGACACTGGACGAGCACATAATACAATTCAAAATATAAAGGAATTGGCAGACTATCACAGTATAATCGAGAAAAACTAGAGAAACATATATGAGAAGAATCAGCTTCTAGAATAGGCAATCAAGAGCAACTTCAACGGAATAAAGAAAATATTTTTGCATTACAGGAAAGTATTACTATCTAAGCTAGCAATAATATTTCAAAGTACCAGAGGCATGTTGTGCAAAATAGTACATTATTTCTCATTATTTTCCCATTATTTCTCATTCGCAAGACCTTAACTTTCAGTAATGCTGTTTTGCGTAGCAAAACCATGTTTTCAGATCTGATCAATTTAGGGATGATTTCCTGTAAAAATTTGAGCTAAAAAGCAATCTTGCATAAATTAAAAGTTTGTTTGCTTACGTTTCTGTTTCTATGGTTAAAAGCAATATATACATGTATTTATATAGCGTATATGAAAGCAGTTTCAATAGATCGCCTTGGCTAAATAAATCGATGGAAAGTTCTAAGCAATTAGCTTGGAAAATGTCTTACTTTTCGGCTATTTGAATTGCTTCCTTCAGAGATGAGAGAATTTGTTTGAACTGCAAAGGAAAGTTAATAAAGGATTATCCTGTCGCATATACAATGATGCAACACAAAATGTTCAAAGCAATATTAAGAAAGTACAAAATAGCTAGAACTGTTTATGTTTTATTAGCCAAACCGCCAAACCCCATCTAAGCGTATACGGCAAGCATATTTTTAGACCTTCCTGTAAACCAAACGCCACGTTTACAGAAACTGAAAATCACTTTGAAGATATCGATGAACACATACTGAACTTTTCAGATAAGAAAAATGAATAATATGAAGTTGGATTTGTGAATTCTCGATAACTTTTGCAATCCTCTGGCTATCCTACCTCTTCGCAGTCTTGACATGTTTCTTTAATGTTCTGCTGATCCACGGAAACTGATTGTGTTCCCCAAAAAGTGCGTCTACAGAAAATGAAAGACAGAAATACCTAATTCCTGTTATGATATCTCTAAGAATTGGGGAATTATGGGCGTTGTGCCTGTAGTATTATCTCCAAACTATTAGACAGTCAGTATATAGTACACAAATTATACCTAAAGGTCGAGAGCACAACATTAAAATAAAGATAAAACATGATGTTTCAAGAAAAATGTTGCTATGAATTCTATAAATGGGCCTAAACGCGTGGTCAGTCTTCGATTATGTAAGTGTTTCTCGGCTTACCAAGATAACCTTACAGTTCATAACAGAACATTATGAGGAAAAACGTATCAAAAATAAAACACTACCTCTTCAAAGCAGCCGACATTTTTAAGAATCCGAAGTCAACTCTGTGTATAAAGATAAAATGGTTATATAGGAACTAAAAGCTTTAGAATATCAAAATATATTGAAGACATGCGGGGTAAGTAAAAAACACAAGAAGATATACGAAAGTTAACTGGCGAGAACTAGCTTAGTACATGTTTGATTGATGCAAGACCAAATTACATAGTAATCTTCAACCAATTAGATAAACTGTTCTTAAACCCACTTGCAGTTTGATTCTTATTGAATTATTTGTTGTTTGAATATAAAATATTACACGGGTACTCAACTGAATATGACAAAAATGTCTTTAGGCGTCCAACAGATGAGGGAGATTACACACGTGTTAATTAGACACAATTTCATGGAACGAAGCGAATTGGCAGTTTTAACGCAACAAAATATGAACCATATAAAGCATAAAGCAGTATGAAATGGTAACGTACCCTCGACTGCTAGCTTTAGGTTCTCTCAGCTTCACTAAAATGTAACATAATCTAGTGAAAATCTTTTATCTTGCTTACTGGTAAAAACAGTAATTACTGGTGAATTGACTGGACTAGAAATAAAAAAAAATTTCTTTAGGTAAACAAAAAAGTGATTGCAGAACAAGTATGCTCTGCTGGTAGAGCAACGAAATACAGTGTTGCTGATCCAGGGTTCAAGTCCTTCCCTGTTCAAGTCAATCACTCACAATTACTCTCAATGCAAAAAGTAATGTCACAAAACGCCTTTGGAAAAATCATATTAACATATCACAATAGTAATCAAAAACAATAAAATAACCATTTTCTAGAAATCGCAGTGTATATGGTATGCTTGTTAAACAGTGAGTTTGTGCTGGTGTAACTAACAGAAACCAAGAGCGAACTAAACAATACCAATTGTTGTATAAACAATCTTGTGGCAAATGATAAGAACAGACTGCTAGCTTGGATCTACCTGGTTTTTGGTTTCCATTGCCTTCATTAATGGGAGAAAGAGATCTAAAAATGAAGAGTATGATATCTTTCACAGCAATCGACGGCAAACTTTTGGCTATGAAAGCTGTTAATAACCCTCAGCATTGTCTCGGAAAACCTGCATGTACCGCAGACTGTACGGAGGAGAGAGGAAAGAAAAGGAGAGTCGCTACCTCACTTCATCGCTTTTCCATAGAGTTAACACGCAGACTACTTCTGACAATCAAATTAAGAATGAATAATAATTAACGGTAGTGAAAACGATGATGAGATCCAACAATACAAACGCACTTTTAACTAGCACATTTACAACGTACGTTCGTATATTTGCTGTTGGATTCGGTTAATCTTGATAATCACCAGCTAAAAATGTTGTGGTACAAAGACGATAACAATTATTGGGCAGGGCTAAAATTAACTTTCTCGTTTAAGCCACGGCGATGACGTGTCAATCTTCTATCTAAAAGCTCTTGCGCAACCGGCATGCTTAGCGGCAATAATCTCGAGAAATTGATTGTGTTTTGTATTTTCATGCAGTACGATATTAGGCTTGGCTTCTAAATTATTGTCGCAAAGCATGCCGGTTGCGCAAGAGCTTTTAACGCAGCGCCCTTATTTTCTTAACATAAACATCTATTTCATCCCCAAAGTCAAGTCAAACGTACTTCCCTTTTTCTGCACTTCATTTCGAACGAGCAAACGTTTTCCGAACGACCGATACGTTATATATAAAGAGGTATTACAGTATAAGCGAACTGTCATTCAACTCATCTACAAACCAAATTGCACTTTCACAAGAAGACAATGCTTTCGTATAGAATTTTCTTTATGTACGTCCCAAGAAATTTAGATTTTTACCTCTCATCGGCTTCAGGTTTTGGTTGGTTGTACAAGGGATCACCTGCTGCAATTGAGTTAAATAGCCCAGATTTTCTGTGAAAAATATTTCACGACTTTAGATGATATCGAGTTACGTTGATAACAAGAAATACCCAAGAAAAGTACCTTACTAGAGAATATTTATGAAAAAATGGCAGAAACATCGGTAGAAGTATCGATCGTTTGTTTGAGTCAAGCCTTGTTTGTTTTGCTCATATCTTAGCCGGTTATTCTTCAAGCAATATTGGGCTTTTTGCAGAAGCAATCTGTCACCCTGATGTTCTGCTACTGCTTTGAAAGCGGTAGGACTAATTATTTGATGAGAAGGTTCTCTTACCTCCAGTTTTTGAGTTCCGTTCTTATGTTAGATAAAGAGAGATTCGAAATCGATTGGCTGCTCTCTGATTTGGATGCTTCGCCAACTGTGGCCGGCTTCTTAATTGGCTCAGAAAAAGACACCAAGTCATCTGTCACATCTGAGATCAAAATTTAATTTGTGTTAGAAAAATGGAAGCTCATAGGCTCAGCAACGTAGCGAGAGGGAGGCAAGAGGACGCCCCCCTCCCCCCCGCAAAAAATAGCAAAAATATCTTTGAAAAAGGGCGTTTTGTCGCGTTCAAAAGGGTGTGGATACCCAATTTTCCTCCAATCTTACCATCCTGGCTACGCTATTGCATAGACTATGCAAGCTCCTATCACTATATATAAAAAGAAGGTTAGAGTCGTTAGAAAATATAAACAACATGACATCATGCTTGTACCTTCGCCGTTCTCGGGCCCACTTGGGCTTGCTAACAGTCCACTCGTTGGTCTCTACAAATACAAAAAAACAGAACCTTTACAACAAGCTTTCGTTTCTAAAAGGGACATTCTTTTACAGTCAGTTGCGAAAACAGGGAAATATAAAGATAATTCATTTAGACGTGATTTAATGGCAACCACAGCAGAATCATTGGAACGAAAGCTTTATTGCAGGAAATGTGATAGGTCAGCAATTTATCATTGGAAAGCCTGCCATGGAAATAGAAGGAAAGTCATTGAAATTATACAGGTTTAAATTGCTATATATGGATTTTGTTTTCTACTTTCGTTTTACAAATCGTTGCCTCGTGAACCGCAATAATAAAGAGCATTGTAAGTGCTTTTCTAAAACCAATGCCAATTGAAAAAAATTCAAAGACTTACTAAACCAGAAGAAGAGGATCGTGTTTCCCCACACATACTAGACTGACGCCTTGTGAACTTCGCCCTTTCAGCCTTAGAAAGAATATCAAAAGAGACTTTAAGCAGAGTTATAAAGATATCATCCAAAAAAGTTCAAGCATTTATAAAAACCATGAATTTTACTGCAGTCTTCCTTTAGTTAAAATTTGCATCTAATTCAATTCCGAATCTTTTCATCGCAGATTTTATCCAAAAGAACCGCTAGTATGTCTCTGATATTATGGTAATATCATTATCAAAGCTCTCCATCATTATTTTTTTCTTAAAACACAGCCAAGTAAAACTGACAAAATTTGAAAAAATGCCTTCAATTGCTGTAGCCAAAATTGCACAGTTTCTTTGTCAGGGGCCTTTAGCTGGTAGGCCCTTTCTCCTGCCCTAAAAAAACAAGTAAAGTTGATAATGCCAAATTGGTAAAAGAGCAGGGCTTTGGTATACAAGCATTTCTTAGAAGCCACACCCATGATCATTTCATAGAAGCCACACCCATGATCATTTCATAGAAGCCACACCCATGATTACAAAAGACCAATATGAAGTTGCTCATTCACAGAAAATCTTTAGCATACTAAAGGGTTGCTAACACAGGGAACATCCAATCAAAAACATAGTAGCTTGTTTAGGGGGCTAAGCCCCCTGCCCCTGAATGAGCACTTCCAAAATTTCCCTGAATGAGCATTTCCAAAATCTCTCTGGATTTTAACAAAAGGGCTGATCCCCCTAAGCCCCCTCCATGGTACCCTTGCAAAAAGGTGTTTTCCTACAGAAAAAAGGGTGTGGCCTCAATGCGTTTGCTTTGCCCACCCCCCCCCCCCAAATACCTAGTGGGTGCCGCCACTCATTATAGAGTTCTAGGATTCATACTACAAGAAAAAATTCTCAATTTTCCCTGTTTAATTTTGAAGGAACATTTGTAAGGAAAGGCAAAATGATTGCCATTAATTATCTAAATTCAGTACAATTCAAAGTATAGATGAGCATGAGAAAAATTATGATGGAAAAGGTAATTCCTTTTAATCAAGTAAAGGCAGTGCTCATCTTTTTAAAGAGAAACACATTCAATTCCTGGCAATCAGAAAAATTATTGGATTACAAAATAAAAGTCTCATACCTAATTTCAAACTCTTTGAGTGATGGATTTGTGCTCAGGGAGAAAGTAGCACTGGCAATATCAATATTCCTACAGCAAGCATATCATAAATTGAAGGATTAAGGTAAATCAGAAAGAAAAGAACAAGTAAATTTAATAATTGTGGTGAAAATTTATCTTGTTTTCAGCTAAAAACAGACATGAAAAATGATATTCTTCTGTAATTCATTTTAAAGGTCATGAAATACAAGGCACAACATGACAAGACAAGGCATGTCAGGACACAACACAAAACAAGTCAGGACATGGTAACAAAGCACAAAAAATTTTGGCTTAAAATTGGTTAAATAAGAAGTAAACAAACTTATAAGAGACTGTTTATAAAAGACAGACATGATATAAAATTAAATTGTCTTCATGAAACTGGCCTTACTGTCAACAAGCTACTTGACTATCAAAGCTTTGTAAATGTGTCACATATTGAATTATTTCTTGTCTTACCCCAAGGGATCTGTGCAGTTTCTTGTTCTATAGTAATAAAGTGTACATTTTCGTGGTTCAAAAACAAACCACCTTTCTTTCCATGTCTTTAACCCTTTGGCTGAAAAATTTGAATTTCTCTACTAAATGTGCATAAAACTTTATATCATATTTATATCTTGCTACTGGAAGAAATATAAAAAGAAACCCAGACACATAATTATCAAAACTTTCATTTTTTGTTTAAACAATATAAACTTGGCTAACTATTGAACATATATTTAAAATTTCTTGTGAATTTTATGTCTTAACGAGCATCTTGAGCAACAAAAGATATTAGAAACAAGCTTTGTAAAGTATAAATGGTCCATGAGTCTATGAATCAAATGTTTTTTGCACCAAAAACAAAAAAATTATTAACATCAGTGACACAAAGATCAAAACTTAACACTGAGCAAAAAAGATCTAGCTTGCAGAAATTAAAGCCAAAGCAGGGGTAACTTCTCTGAAAAATTTCAGGGAGATGTTAATTGAGGTGACTTTGCCTTGAAAAGCAAAGTTAGCCAGAAATGTTAATGATAGATGGTCATACCTCCAAGTTTACTGAGGTACCCACAAAGCCTTTCTTGTGTAGCCTGAAATTCAATCATATTCTAATTACATTGAGATATATTCACTTTAGTATAAATTTGTACTCCTCAATGTAATGTATACTTAGCTAGAGCTTAGCTGAGTACCAACATCAAAGACAGGGCCCACGTTGCGAAATTTTAAAGTAGGGGGCCAAGGCTACTTTCACTTTTGATTGTAGCTTTGAAATTACCTGCTTCACAAAAAAGTGGGGGGACCATGGCTCAAACATACCTAAGTGCATCATTTGTTGTCTAACATTAACAATTTTGTGTACCAAGGGGGCTTAAATAACAATACCAATTTTTTAAGGTACCTAGGCCTTCTTGGCTTCTAACCTATATATAATTAATTTCTCATGTTTTCCAAAAGCTTATGAGACTCTGAGGCCTCAAACCAGTTTATGTATGCTCTTGGTGGAGTCAGGCAACAGTGTTAACCACTTTGCTACATTTTAGTGATCATTTTATAGCCTAGTACCTTTATTCAGCTAATATGCCCATCTTTATGAGGAAAAGTCAAAATATTCAAAACAGATTCAAATTACAAAGGAAATGTTTTCTAATATTTCTTGAATAAGTAGAAATGCATATGTTTTAAGTCGTAAAATTGCAATGAATGTTTCAAGATAACCCCTGATGGATCAATCTTTTTAGAAATAATATTTATCCTTTGCATTCCTTGAGGGTAGATATATAATAATATAGATAATAATATATACTTTTCATATTTAGTTTAAGGTCAAGGGCCTAACATTTTACATCTGTCCTTTAGAATGACAATTTCTATTTCGATACATCTGCATAAATGCTAAGAGACAAGGACCTTTTACTATGCTCAGTACTATCGTTCAAAAAATGAGTAGTATGTTGCCTTTGAGCTCCATTTATCTTTTTGCCAACTGCTCATTAAGAGTATCTGACACATTGCAGTTTGACATGTTTTTTATCAAGAGGGGGAAAATGGGAGATTATTTCCCATTCACAGAAAATTTATGACAAGGTGGGGTCAAGAATTAGTTTTCAGTGGCAAAAAAGTCTGTTTTGGGCCGAAGTTAGCTAACTCTACGTTATTTTGCATGATATTTGCATCTGCATTTTTTAATTTCAGGTTCCCCAAACCTCAAAAAACATTTTTTTTAAAAAGTGAAAGTCAAATGATCAAATGGCCAAAGAGATTGAAAGATAATAATCGACTTCTATTTAAATCCTTTACAGGACCAATTGATATCACTATAAAGGGGACAATGTAATCATAACCAATGCCATTAATATCATATTCCTTTACATTTTATGGCTCAATCAATCACAAAGAGAAAACTTTATTTGGGTAAACAATAAGATCAATCTAATTAAATGAGTAAAACTCTGCATTTCCTATAGGCTGTCGTTGCTTCAGCCTTGATCTTGGTTGTTGTGTAAAAAGCCACAAAGCGACCATTAGATCAGGAAGTCATGTCCCTAAAATATACCTTGATTCGTTTATTATCGATATAATTGAAAAACGTAGAGGAACATACATCTTTTGCATAGTTCTCTTGAACTACACCAGTAGCTGACTCCGCTGTGTTCATGGCAAATTCTACTTCAGGGGGAGGCTCCACATACTCCCACTCAGGATCTTCCGCCATATTTCTTCCTTGTTGACCTTGTTCTGTATTTCCACATGGGTTCAAGGGAGAACAATGCATAGACAAGGTTAGAGTATAATTTAATTTCGATGTTAACATTTTGAATATTCAGTAAAAAAATTCAGTAAATTGTGCTAGGTTTTTGAAATTTTATTAAAATGAGTATATTCCAAAACTGAGCTGCGGGATTCAAAATCAATTCTGGTTTTATAAGTTTTTCAGAAACTAGTACTAGGATGGCCAAAAAATTAGAAGCTGGAGTACTAGGTTAAACCGCTTAAACGAACTTTGTTGCCGTAGTTTTTCTAAGCTTTTTTTTATTTTCTCTGGAAAGATAGCGCACTTTTGACCTGCATTTAAATTTTTCCAAAAATGCTCAACTACAAAAATAAGGCAATTTTAGGTCCTGAAAATAAGAAGCCAACTAAGAATCTAAAGCGCTAAAATTTGGATGCCAAATTAAGAAACTTTCAATGCTTGGTGCTGATCTAAATTGCTTTTAATAAAACGTGTATTAGCGGACATTGCCATACTCCGTGGTTCGTATTTCAACCATGATCGCTTAAAATATTTTTGGGTAACACAATTTTTCTTAAATTAAGCAACATAAGTGAAGTTACTTTGTATTTTTGCCACAAATTCATTCGTCTCTGGGAAGAATGAAATGATATCTCTGTATAAAGATTTGATAATATATCATTGTGGTTTTACTCTTAGTTACAAGCAAAAAGGCTCTCTCTCTCTCTCTGTGTAAAAAACCAAGAGTGGAAAATATATTTTTGTGTGTGGGGGGAGGGGGTTCTGTGAAAATTTATAAACGACTTTCAGAGATTTAGGGAATTTTGTTGGTACAATGGAAGCGTTAGACGAAATGGAAAGTGAGATTGCAATGAAAGGCAAAGTAAGTTCAAATTGAAGGCAGATATGTTATGTTGTCAGTCACGAAACCTGTTGCGTTTTGACTTGCTTGTTTGGTTTCATTTATGTTCATTATTATTTTTCTAAAACTTTGTCATCATGAAGAAATTCCTCCTCCCAGAGTAGAAATGACATTTTTAATCGTTATTAGGGGGTGTCAGGACAAGTTGGACCGACTCGTGTACAAAATGGTTCAACACTTCGAAACCAATCCAAGCAGTAAAAAATAACCAAGAATACCTTGTAAGAAATTGTATGGTATGACGTACTACAGTAGTTGTTGCTGTTGTTGTCATTATACACGTGAAGTATGCGTTAGAAAGGAGATTTGAGTTGAAGTTGATAAGAGAAGACAGAGTTAGAACGCATTTTTTAAGGAAATTTGACTAGTGGGCCAAATCCTCAAGAGGGCCCACTTTTTCGCGACCAGAGCCCTTGACCCCTTGACTCAAAAAAATGAATCAAAAGAATAAAGCTACGAAAATGAGTATAACAAGAATAACAATTCAATAAAACTTTAATAATATGTTTAACATTTAAAAGCTTCTAAAAAGTTTCTAATGTCCAGAAAATGTCCCGTCACAGACAACCAGAGTCACTCGAAAAGAACTTTTTAATGAATTCCCTCTCTCTATAGATCTCTGAATTTGGCTCTCTGTTACGTCTGTCTTTGCTCTTGAGAAATTCGAAAACTGCAGGTCTTGGGTCAAAATATGCAGTCCCTGTGCCATTGAGAGAGACATGCATGTAGCTGTTAATTGATTCTGGCTTTAGTGATGCTCTGCTGGATATTTTGATATTATTATAATGGGAGACAGCTCTCTCTGTTGCCATGCTATGTGGTGTCAAGGTGAGGAAGGAAGCAAGGAATTTTCTGAGCAAACCAATGCTGGCCTCTGTCATTTTTCTCAGCTTCAATGCATTGAGTGTGCCAGAATCTTCTATCTGGCTATAGACTTGAACTTTGCTTAGGTTTGTCCATGACATGCAGACATCAGAGACAAACTCTTCAACCTTGTCCTCTCCAAATATCTGGCTCACAAGATCTCTGCTGGCATTTATCATCTGCGCTGGTGAACTTGCATCCAATATCTTTTTTAAATTGTTGATTGTTTCATCTTGCTCAATGTTCATGCGCTGGTCTAGAAAGTTTATTGCTGATTGAACAATTTCCACTCTGATTGGACCATCTTCTCTGCGTAGTGATGTGACAAACCTATGAGCCTGGCTGGTTTTTCTGATATTTCTTTCTCCACTGCTTTCTTTACTTGAGTTTAAGTTCTTCAAGTATTTCTCTTCCTGCCCACCAGGCACTGGCATCTCCTTCATGACGTTCAGGTTGACAATAGCTGCATCCCTGGCTGTTAATACATCCAGTAGGATGAGGTCAGATTTTTGAAAAATTTTCTGTAAGTTCTTGAAAATTTTGCACAGATCATGCATAACAGTGGTCAACCACACTTGCTGTGTGCCATTGCCCCATTTCATAAGAAATCCTTTTGCAGATGAGCTTTCTTTTCTGTCCGAATTTAGGGTTCCATCTGTCATTTTTGTCCAAAGCTTCTTGCTGCTTCCAGGTTATTCAAAATTGCTTTCAGCAAATTCAAAGTGTGCTCTGCAAACCTGACCTCAAAATGCTTTGGAAAAGCAAGAGCCTGATCATTTTCTTTGTGCAGCAACTTTGTGCGACGTGGGGATGAGTGGAAGAATGTCGAAAGAGCAAGAACATCAGCCATCCAGAGATGGAGTTCAGGGACCTCAGATTGAACAGATTCAAGGGCCAAATCTGAACGATGACAAACACACCACGCTGTCAAGATATCCCTGCCAATATGTTGTTTGAGCAATGTCCATAATCCTGCGTTTTTGCCTGTGTTTGCTTTTTCTCCATCAGTGGTGACTCCAACAAGCTTCTCTGTCTCCACACCAACACTTTTCAAGCACGAAATAAATGAATCAAGAAGTCCTTCAGCTCCTCCTAAATCACTGCTGGCGATGCCAAGAAAAACGGTCTTCACACTCACTTCATTCGTTGGGACTAACCTTGCTGTTATAAATTTAGAATCAACCTGCTGCTTGTCAGCACTTCCATCAATTTGAACAGAAAAGCACAGACAATCTTTTAATACATCAGCAGTTTTTTTCATCTCTTGCTTAGCAACTATGTCTCTCATTGCTGCATAGGTTACTGGATCCCTATAATGGTATACAGAGCTTGGTTGACTAAAAGGAACAAAATCTGTGTGCCAACCTTCTGTCTCAAAATTATGGAGTAAAGCATTGCTATGTTCAGTTGCCAAAGACCTTGATGGCCAACTTCTTGCACTGAGTGTTTCCGTTCTACAATCATTGTAAACATCAACAGCCATTCGTAAAAGAAACTCTAATGTTTGTATTTTGCATTGTTTCATAACTTTGACCCAAGGATGACTGTCTGACGAGAGACTCCACGCTTCTTCAAGTTTCTTCAATCTTAATGCTTCATTGTGAGCAGAGGAAAGCAAATGATCAACAAGTAAACAAAGTCTGTCTTTCCCATCAACCCGGACTCCACTGGCAACTGGTATTCGTCCATTAGTGGCATACCTTTTCACTTCAGGTTCATACTTGCTGCAAAGTAAGCAAGTGACAACGGGACGTCGTCGTTTTTTTTGTCCTTTCTGTTCTTCCCTACTTAATTCCAGGCAAGATTCAGCTAAAAGCAGCCAATTCAAGTCTAATTTTTTGCCTTTGTACCAACGATCATCTGTGGAATCGATTTTTGACGAGGCACTGTCTGGTTTCGAAGTTTCGGCGTCAGCAAGGCCAAGGCCATGGCCTATGTCTGCATGAGTATCATCACTATCGACATCGTCAATGACATAATTTTCCTGAGTATTAAGAAAATATTCGTTGACGTTTTTATCATCTTTCATTGAATCGATGAAACAGTCAGAAGCTGTACTCACCTCAGCAACGGGTACTGCAGTTGATGAGTTTTGATCGCTTGTTGATTCGCTATCAATAGGACTGGCAGTCTTAGGCCGACTGCTGGTGTTTGATTTGGTAAATCCAAACGAGGAGAGTAGCGATGTTTGGCCACTTGCAGTGGCAGCCTCTTTCAATTCATTCTTCTTTTTTTCCAAACGTTTCTCGTGACCACTCTTTGTTGCTTTTTTTTTTCATTTCTAACATGGATTTCTAGCTGACAAACTTTTGATCTTTCTATTTAGATTTTAGAACACAGTCTAAAATGACCATGACAACACCAAACATAAACTAGCGACCATAGCAACATAGAGCCTCGACAGAAAACCCAGAAAGAGGATAGATATGCAAAGGGCCTTTCCTTCTGTGCTCAACAAGTGGCACAATGTGAAAGACTAATTTTTTACTTTTTACATTTTGAAAAAAACATTTGTGAAAAGGGCCCAAACTAGTGGGCCGAAAGCCCTAAATTTTGCTTTTTTACTGGGCCGGAAGAGGAGCCCACTGGGCCAGTGGCCCAGTAGAGTGGCCCAGTAGTTACAATGTTAAAAAATGCCCTGGCACCAGCGTATATAGCAATTTCGCACATACCTTGAGGAATTGCCACGCTGTGGTAAGATGGGAATTCATTCTCTTTGGAATTGTTGTAGTCATTTGGTACTTTGGGGGAGGGGATATAGGAGATCAGATGATAATTTACTTTTACCTGCTCTTTGGGAGCAATGAAACAAATTCGAAACATTTTTATGTACCAGAACAAATAGTAAAGATCTCTTTGTGTGGAAAAGGCAACACTGAAGGGCACACAGACATGGCTCTAGGAGACACTTCAACTGAGGGGTTTCTGGTCGCGTTCCCCCTGAAAATTTTGAATTTCAAGGCGTTTTCTTTGGCCTTGTTGGCTTCCTGAAGCCCCAATAACCAGACAATTTTTTTGTTTAATTGATTCTTCCTTCCTAGTATAGCCTTGCTGCTATCTCAAGTCACTTCTATGAACATACAGTTTTACGTACATAAGATAAGAAGAAACAACTCTTAAAGAAAGTACATGTAAAGCTAAAACTAAGTGAAACCAACTCTTATAACTTTTCAAGACGAAATAACTAGACAGATAACTATAGATACTATACATTGAATTCATGTTTCTAACGAGTAGATATTTAAGGTATCTTTTCCAAAGGGCATACACTAAGTTTGAATAAAAGTTGGAGCGGACCTAATTCTTTTTAAAATTGTGTCTTATTAGCTTTTCCTAATATATTCCTATAGATTGATACCCTGGGTACCAGACTCACTCTATAACGTCTCATCGCATACGCATCCGATTTCGCCTTTCGGTCTTCAAATTTGATCAAGATAGGAACAAATTTCGCCGGGAGTCATTACTCGCCATATTTCTATGTTTTGCACAGAGCTGCAGGACGAATAACAGGGAAGCTCCATGTAATTTTAGGTCCCCCTCTTTCCTTTATGTCTCTTGCATCTTTAGCACCTTTTAAGCCAACCTTACTAAAAATGCTGCTACGCATGCTGGTAAAATGCTGGTAAAGACCAGAGCAAAACTGGAAATTTTTACAATTTTGAGACAATGTTCCAAGAATGACCACCATCTCTCACGAGGTAAATCTTTAAAAACGACAACTTTTTCTTTGGCTATGAGGCAACTCATACTCTAGTCAGCTTCAAGCATTTCTCAGAAAAGTTCTTGCTTTACCCTACCTACCCAGCTACTTTCTCTTCGTTTTTTCAAATAATCTTGAGAACAACCTTTTGACAGAACACCACTGAACTCGATGAAAAAATTAGCAAATTCCATGCCATAGTAGTCGCTATTACCCTGGGTGCCAGAGCCTCAGAGAGTCTCATACAAAACCTGAAGAAATGTTCAGTTATTTCGTTATTTCTTTTTCCATACTGAGAATCAATGTTATTTCATATTTCAAAAGTAAAAAACCTAAATATTTACATTTTACCTAAAAAAAATTTCAATTATTTCATATATAGGGCCTCATTAAAGAATACCTTTTGCTTTCGGGAAACACGGAAAAATAGAGGGTGAAAATAGAAACAAATTCAGGATTCCAATTGCTAAGGCAACAAAGCTTTGTTAAGATCAAATATGAATCTGAAATGCTATTCAAGTGCAAAAGTTCTGAAGAAATCTGCAACTGATTCTTTTTCAAACTGAGAGAATCATCCCTGCGAGGGCAGTTGGTGCATGTTATCGTATCGTGATGTATCATGGGATATCAAGTGTCTGGTTATCTTCAGTGTTGCTATTGCAAACGAAGTTGCAAAACTCTAGACAAATCGCGTGCAATATTTTCAGCATTCGATAAGTAACAGGCTTTGAATAGGCAAACTTAAAAGACTCGATAGCTTTTGCCAGGAAACACTCTTTAAGGTGGATTTATAGCCAAGAGAAGGACTTGCATTTCACTGGCCTAACCAGTGGGGAGAAAATGGACGAGCCAGTGCAAGGACACCATGATTCGGAAAGAGGGTATTATGATCAAGAGGAAGCTGCTCACAAGTCAGAATGGTCAAGGTATGACAGAGGAAGTGAAAGAAGCCCCGTCAGGCGTTCGAGAAGCAGAAGCCCAAGACCTAGAAGTTTGGAAAGAAGAGACGAAAGGGGAAGGAGAAGCAGTGAACGGGATCGAGATGGAAGAAGGCTAGGAAGAGAGAGGGATTCCTTCAGAAACCGTGAACGAACAGGACGCAACTTCGCTAGTAAAGAGTGCAGAGTTTATGTAACAAATATTCCTTATGAACTGAAATGGCAAGAGCTTAAAGATATAATGAGGAAAGGTAAGAAACATTAAACGACAATTCTTATCAATCTCAGGTCACGTCACCACAGGTTGGACATGATTTTGGCTAGGCATTAGCTGCAGACTTCAAGCGAGGGCATTTGACCTGCAAAACGAAATTGGATGAATCAGAAGGTGACAATGATGCCTACCAAATCAGATAAAACGTTTTTGATTCTCTCAATCACACTTGATAATCAATAATGACATAATCATTATCAGATATTGACTGATTTATGAGCTAATGACATTATGGCTGAAAATAGCCAAAATTCTGTGCCATGTATTCAGGCTCTTTTGGTGCGAAAATCAACCTAGGTGCTAGACTCTAGGTGCTAAAACTTAACACTAACAATTGTCTGCCTGGTGCTCTGCTCCAAAGGGCTTCTGAATATAGCCACTCAGATTCATTTTGGCCAGCAACAAATGTGCTAGTGTGTGTAAGATATCCAGGCAGCACAAATTATGTCTATCTGAAGCATACCTGCAAGTGATGCAATTTTTCAACCAAGGGTTTGGGCATGCACATAGAAAGAAACATGCTGCATGCAAACTGCGGTGTAAGGAGCTTAAAATTTGCCCTTTCAAACCAAAGCAAAGCACTACCAAACCATGACATTTAACATTGATTGACTTTTATCTGGACTTTGTTGATTTTCAGTTAAAAAAACTTGTATTTCTTTCTCTAAAGAAAGCCAAAACGTAATCCACTTTACATCGGAATTAACAGAAATTCTATGACACAGTTATGAACCAGACAAGAAACAGATTGTGCCAGTAACAGTCGGCACAAGGAATTAATAAATGCTCATCAGAACTTGCTAATTTGCCTCAAGATGAACTGGTGTTATAAGCTTTAAATAGGTACTCTTGAGATGAATTCTAATTTAACAAAAGCAGGCCATTGCAATATGTGTTTCATCTTGCATCATGGATTTAGATTGCTATGGGAGTTGTGAATGCTCCAGTAGAGTAATAAATGTCTGCATATCTGACACTTTAATAACAATCAATGTAAGTAAATTGTATGAGGGAAATTTTTTTTAAAATAAATATAAAATGGTATATTTATTTATTTTAAAAAAAAATTTTCCTGGTACAATTTACTTACATTGATCGTTATTATAGCATCATATTGTACCGCACGCATTTTGGTATATCTGACACTTATTTGATAACAGAATAGCAAATAAAATTATAGCCATCATCAAGGTAAAATTTAGAATTTTGCTCAACATATCGTCATGTTGTTTACACATGTAACAAGTAATATATATACAGAAAGGATGATTTATTTATCTTTAAATATATGCCGAATTTACTGGATTTGTTTTCAGTTGGGGATGTACAATATGTTGAAATGATATCTGATAATCAAGGCCATCCAAGGGTGAGTGCTTAATCAGTATTTTCTTGAATTTAAGCTGTGTAATGATTTTGTAAACAAATCAGAAACATGCCATATTGTGGGCTTTTTGCCTAATTTGCACTTTTGCTTTAATAAGCTATATATGTTTTCTGAGTATATTTACGGAGTATGAAAGTTGCTCATGTAATTGTAAAGGATATAGTGGAAAATTTGTAGGGAAAAATGACTCAAACAATTTGGCTCAAAACAAGAGAACAATATGTATTTTTAGAAACATTGAAATTCCAAAAGAAAAACTTCAATTCTTTGAAAACAATCTATCATGTTTGTTTACTTTGCCACTTTGTCAGCTTTTTCTACTTTCTGTCTACTTAGTGTAGTACCCTTGTAATTGTTGTTGTGTTTTGACAACTTTTGGCACCATCATTGGGTAGAGAAAGATTATTATCCAATGTCTGCAAATTTTTGTGGTGAATGTCTAAGGTATGAGGATGTATCAGTGGTCAGGGTCACAGGTTAAATATAGAAAAGTATGAAGTTCGAGTCTCTGCCATCAGCAGTTCCCTGTAGTTCCAGGCACAGAAATCGCAAAGTGTGTTCGCGTTAGGAGGAAGGACAAGGATATTTCTTGATAAGCATAACTTTTCATGGTCCTGAAACCTACCTTTGAAAACTAGCAAGCTTAAATACATTCACAGTTTTGGCAGAAATACTGCTGATACCCTTTAGCAACTCATTCTACATTCTTATAACATGTGTTGAACTTCTGATAGCATTTAATATTTTGTAAGTTATGGAAAATGTATTAAATGTCATATTCATGATGTCTTTTTTCTTTTCATGAATTTGTCATTCAGGGAAGTGCGTAAGTACAAAGTTTATATCAGTTTAACCCTTGATGTGTTTTATTGAATTAAATGAAACATTGAATAACTAAGTACCTCAAAGTGTTTTGCCTAAACTGTTGTTGCTACCATGATTTCTAAGATTTCCTTTTAAAGAAATTGCTCAATTTGGTTCAAAATAGTTTTTAAGATTGAAGACAAGGTTCTTTTAGTTGTGATTTCTAAAACTATTGACATATCAGGCCTTGCTCCAAGCAAAATGAAGGTACTCTATAGAAAGAGCTTCTTAGAAACTCTAGGTGCTCTATTTCGCACCTCTAAATAAAATTACCTTGAGAGCATCTTTCGAGAGCTTGAATCAAATGATGGCAACTTACTTATCTAGCAAAAGTTGATGAGCTTTTATCACTGTCAGTATCACCACTGCCATGTTCAGCTTCACATATTACTTCATCAAAACGCATGGCTTTAAGTCAAATATTTAACTTTGTTTCCTCTTTTATGTTATCCATTCTATAAGACACCCAAAACATCTACTACTCACGAAAGCAAATTAATGCAAAAAGCAATGCAATAATTTGAGCGGAAATGTGATCGCTGATTTGCACAGGTGATTTCAAGTTATTAAGGAAAAACAGAAAATAATACTTAATACAGAATATAAACACTTGCTTGAAAATTAAAAAAATCTGCCAGAGAATATGCTTGATGGCCTGTGTCCTTGGTTGAGCACCTATCCAGGCAAGGCCTGCATATGCTAGTTGAGTCTGTATTTTAGCATTTTTATAAATTATTTCCTGTTCTGAAATTTAGACTGGTAGATGCCTTGTTAATCTGATCTCTTTTTTTAAAGTGTTGTGGAATTTACAAGAGGAGAAGATGCTACAACTGCAGTTAAAGAGTTAGATGATTTTGAAATTCTTGGAAGAAAACTTAAAGTCAGAGAGGTAGTTTGAAATTATATTCTTGGAATTATGATCTGTTTTGGTGTTTTGTATTTTTTTTAAAATCATTCCTAAAACTTACTTATTATATTTAATAGAGTATTGTGAATTGCTGATGACTGCTAATATAATGAAGTATTGTTTCAGGACAAAGTTGATGATGATAAATATCAGCGACAGTTAAAACAGCATAAAGAGAATGAGCAATCGAGAAAACAGCAAAACATCATGAGTGGTGGTGGAAACATGTCATTTTTGAATTCAAAGAATGCAGACCCTGTCAACTCAACAGTGTTTATAAGCAATGTATGTCCTAATTGTAATTTTTAATCCTTTTTTAAGCAAACTTGCTTGAAATGGTTTTTAGGCCAGAATTAACTGTTTTTACCAGGTGCATTGAAGTGGAAAGCTTTTTGCTTTTGTACCTTGTATTTCACTTTTTAAAGTAAATTCAATTAAAAGTATTTAATATTTCATAAATTGTTTGCAGCTTGACTATAAAACAACATGGCAAAAAGTGAAAGATGTGTTCAGGAGAGCTGGTAAGCAAGAAGACTTTTGAAAATCATCACCTTTTTTAAATCTATCCCTAACAAAACTTTAAGCAACACTATTTCAGATGTTATATTACAAATAGTTTATGGGCAATTTTTATTTTAGGAAATGTTGTCAGAGTTGATATTGCTGCAGATACAGACAAAAAGTCAAAGGGGTTTGGTACAGTTGTCTATGAAACACCTGGAGAAGCTTTGCAAGCTGTCTGTATCATTTCGAAAATAATTAAGAAATTTGATTAAGTTATTTCAGGCAGAAGTTTTTATAATGACAGTTGAATTTGGACGTTCCAGGGAAGTATTGCAAAAGTTTAATGTGCAAAGTAATGAAAAATGTTTTTTGTTTTTGAATTTTTAGACCAAAGAGCTGGTGACATTATTTACTTTTTATAAAATTTTGCACTTAATGAAAACTGTGTAAGAACGCTGTGGTCACCATTACAAGAACAATATTACAAAGCAAGAATTGCTATGGTTCCTATCTAAAATTAACACATATTATATTGAAAAATGATCGGAAGGGCGAGTTATAAGATGATAAGTAAAATTAATAGCATGATAAAGAAAAGTAAACAATGGGAATTAGTGAATGGAGTGACGTAGAGGATGCCTGTGCTGCGATGTGAGAAGGTGATGGAATAAATGAGAAGGAAAAATTAATGTAAACAGACCTTAGCAGAGTCGCAGCATTCCTAAAGTCAAACTTGAATACTTAAAATTTGTATATCTTTGTCTATCAACCATCTTCCTTAATTGTCTAAAGCAATGTTCAATGGTTATGTATTTGGTGAAAGGCCCATTGTTGCTCGACTGGTGAGTAAATAGCTGAATTTAACCTTTATTGACAAACTCTCCATCCTGCAGCTACTAGATAAATTTTTACAATTTTATACAATTACAATTTTATTTTGCAACTTTCAGCTTTTCTTTATTTACCTTGCAGCTACAGATTAACTTTATTTTCTTAGCAAGTTATGAACTATGTTAAATCTGTAGCATAGCAAATACCAAAATGAACCAATGTTTTAATCATTCCCAGGCTACTGCTGCAAATTTGATATGTTTTCTTCACTCCTACATCAGATGTAACAAGATAAAGCAAGAGTTCTTTGCTGTTTATTTTATTGCTTATGACCATTGCCCATCCTGTACCCTGTCATTAAAGTTTTGCTCGTTAACTACTGTTTTCTTTGTGTTTAAAAATGTTTTGGTATATTGCAAGGTAAAGCTATTTTTTGGAAATGTATTGGACTCTTTTTATGTGGTTATCTTATTGTCAAGCAATTTAATTTGATTGACAATTATCTAGTCATATGTTTGTAAGATAAGTTTTTCCTCCAAAAAAGTATTTTCTTCCATTCTATCGTCCGTTGTAGTTTTTTATTTTATCAATTGTGAAATTGGATTTAGTGACTGAGGGAGCAGAGGTATGCAAGCTGTTTGGGCCTCACCACAATCGTCCACCATTCACAGTTTAATGTTTATGCTTTGCTCTAAGCAGATTGAAAATTTTGTAATTCCTGTCTCTCCAGTAAAAAATGCTGAAGAACTTATTTATCATCCTTTTATTTACTCACAGGATCGAGACTCCACGCTGGCCAAAGTTATGGGAACAACTGGCAACAGCAACCAACCTGGTGGGAATATGGGTGGTGGGATTGCAAACCAAGCTCCCACTTCTCAACAGCAACCAAATTCCCTTGCTTTATTGCAATTGCAGTCTCTTGCTGCTTTAAGTGCTCTTGCATCTGGTGCCTTCAGCAATTTGGGTGGTCTTGGCAACCAAGGAGCAGGTATGTCACGTGTAACATTTTCAGTCTACTGGCCTGGGCGGACAATGAGCCATATGTATAAAGGAGACGTGGATGTATATATTTTTGCATTTTCCACTTTCATTTGCAAGAGCAAGAGCACTGCTCAGTTCGATGCTCTGAATAAGCAAGAGCTTATGCAGTTTGATGGTTTTAGCCAGATAGTATGTGCTAGTAAGTAAGTGAATAATAATCGTTTGTGTGTTATTAAACTCACTTTAATCTGCAAGCAAGAGATGGTTTGATCTCATTGGTGTTACCATTGAGAATTTCGGCTTTTTGGTTTGGATATATGTAGTGGCTCGATATTGTGAATTTCAGGAGGCCTAAATAGATTAGGTGTCAGCTCTGTTACTAACTCTTTGTATGATTTTTACGGAAAAGTGCCCGCAAAGAAAGTACATCTAATATTCCAGCTGTTGCTTTGTATTGTTGTATAGTTGCATACAGGAATTGTAGGGACAGATGTACTCAAAACTTGTCTTATCAAAAAAGATGAAAACTGTTTGAAGCCAATCAGATTGTTTGTTTACATTTTCAACAAGCCCATGATAATACGCAACAGTAGCGCTTGTTTCTCCTATACAAAGCTGTAGGGAAAAACCGCCGCCACAGAGGTAATCACTGAACGTGAAAATCGTCATTATCGAAGAGCTTTACAAATATGTTGGTCTTATCTAGAACTGTATTTTAGTAGTGAAATTGTTCAGGGGTGCTTTGCAGTAAGGGGATACTAACGTGACAATGACAGTGTTTAGAGGACAACACCATTTTAATATATGTTAGAATCATTCTGTTTTTTGGTTTTGTTTAAAGTTTGCATTTGGAAATGGTAGGCTCTTTGGTTCGCTCTTTGAGTGAGCTAACTAGGACAGCATTTGTTGGTACACACCTATACTCTTTGTAGCCGTTAAGTCAGACAACGAGTTCATGAGGTGAGCATTATATCTGTTTTGGTGGTTCAGTTTGGACAGCAAATAACAACTCAAAAGCTCTTAGTGTCTAAGAGAAGAGATGAGGAGTTTTTCACTTTGTCCACTGTCTATTGAGTTCTATCTTCTACTCAAAGAAACTGATCTAGAACTTCTTTTTGGTCCTTTGTGCAAGAACTTTTCAGGCAGTTGAATGACTGTTGTTTGAGGATCGTTAGTACATGATTGATAGAATAATCATAACGAAATTTATCAGGGACGTTTTTGTAAATATTAGCTGCAATGACCTTTTTTGATTTTGTAGAATTTTCGCCAAGTTGCCTTTTTCTTCAGCAGGATCTTAAAGATAAGTGACTGGCTGTAAGTAGAGCCTAGAAATGCAGCCTCGTGTTTTCGTCTAGCTTGGATGGAGATATTAGTAAATATTGTTGCTTTGACAGGCCTTTCTGGTGGTGCAGCAGCTGGTGGTGGTCTCGAAGCACTCGGTATTTCAGGGCTTGGTGCAGGCATAGGTGGCCTTGGCAGTTTGTTAGGTGGGCTCGGAGGTGGGCTGGGAGGCGGGCTTGGAGGCGGGCTCGGAGGCGGGTTCGGTGGTGGTCTGGCTGGAGCATTAGCTGGTGGAATAGCAGGCAGCGGTGCGATTGGAGGACATCATGGAGGAGGAATGGGAAATAGTGGAAGTAGTGCGGCACCAAAGATTGGCTCAGGCAACAGTCGCGATGACAGTGGTAAACAGATATTCGTTCGCAACGTAAGTATGTGCAGATGGTTGGTATGGCATGGTTTTTAGTGTGGCTATTCGATTTGTGCAATGATTGTCGTAAACATGTCAAATTTGATTCTGAAGTTTTTTCACACGTATCGTTGTAAAACTGGCTTGCTTTTTTTGTTTCGTTGAAAATCGTTCTGAATGCAAAATTCAAAGTATAATGGCCGCCAGCATGATTTGGGTAGCTGTTTTTTTTAAATCGATATCAGAGTTTTAGAAAGTGTTTCTTACAGAGGTTCTGGCTGGGGAATAGAGTTTGATGGAAAACTCATAAAGAAGGAGAGATAAATTTGAAAATAAATGTTGGCGAAAGTATTTTGGGTTTTAATTTGCATTACATGTCGTATTCACCCAGCCATGTAGTCTGATAGCAAATTTCATGAAAAATTTAGTGTGAAGATGTTGAAGATTGTTGTTGGCGAAAACCATTTTCATGCAACATGAATGAACCTGTCGATTTATCAATATTGGCTATATGATCACTTCGATAAAAAGTTCCTATTTTTGTTTGGTTTTATCAATTTCAATGCTTGACAATTTTGTGCTTTGTACGGCAATTCAAAGGTGCTCAACGTATTTTCAAAACACGTTGATCTATTATCAGTGTTACCTTTTCGCCTTGAATTTTCGACTACTTTTTCTTCAAACTTGTTATTTTGGATTGCATCAATATTCAAAATAGAATAAGCTTGTTCTTATTGTCCATATTGTCTATGTTGAGTCTCCATATTGAAGAAATCTGCAAGTGCTTTTCGATCTTTGCTCTATCTGATTGCTTTGCTTTTTGAAAAGGCCTTCAATAGTTTGAAAATCAACGGTTTCCTTGGAGTTCCCCTGTTTGCTACTTCTAGCAGCTTGATATCTCAGGGCAACCTCTAAGCATAAAGAGTTATCTACAATCTCCATTCAAGTAGTCCTGATTTGCTTTTCTTCATGTCAGATGAATAGATTTAAATTATTTTGCGTGAATGCATCCGCGTAGTAATAATTTTCTTCGTGTGTTTTATCTCGCCCTTGAATTTTGATATTTGAGTAATTCTTTACCTTAAGGACGCCCCTGTTTCTTAACATATTATACCCATACAAGTAGCCTTCAATTTCACCAGCTGCCTCTAACCTTCCCTGTTTACTTTTTCATATGTTTCTTGTTTGCCACGGCACTCTATTTCTTTATTTAGAGAATTCTCGCTCTCTATTCTAGCTTCCCTGGAAAGTAAACTGGCAAGAGCTTAAAGATCGTTTTAGAAATTGTGGTAAGATCCCTCTTAATATTTTCTTTCCATGCAATTTCTGCTACGTACCTCCTAAAATCATATCTCTATTTCTTCTTGTTGTCATGGTTGCCATCTTTTTCTCGCCCCAGCCCCTCTTTTCATTAACTTCTTATCTTGCAATTGTACCGATGCTTTTTAGGTCACGTGGTTCGAGCTGATATCATTACTGATGAGCGTGGTCGATCTCGAGGATGTGGTACAGTGCTGTTTGAGCAAGCGGACGAAGCGCGTATTGCTGTCTGTATCCTTTCCGTTGTTATTGGAAGAACGATGATTTTTTGCTACTTTAACATAGTAGCTGAATCCATTTCCTATGTTGATACACGGTTGTCGCTATTTGAAGTCCTTCTTATTGATAAAACAAAAAAGTAATGCATAATAGGAAGTTAGAATAATAGATTTAGAACAGTCGAAAGTAAAAATCTTGCCTCTCTATGAATTGCCCGAATGATTTTTGGGAGTGCTAGATCTCCAGAATAACTGGAATCTTTTGGATATATAGAGATCACTCCCGTCAAATCATGATTCAAATAAAGGTTTAAGTAAAGATGAACACCAAAAAATTTTAAAGTTTTATTCTTAGCGTATGTAAACAAAAAATTTAAACTTTGCTTAAATTGTATTTGCCGTTATCACATCTTATCTTATTAAGCAGGAATGCCGTTCTAAGTAATGAGGGGTTCTGTGCTGTAGGCCACTTCTAGAAGCCTCAACAGTGACCACACCCACGACCACACCAAATATAATTCTATTTTTATTCATGTTTCTTTGTTTGGATAAATGAAATCATTTAAACTAATCACCGACTCAAAACTACGAGTGGGAAATCATTGGGAATCTACACCACAATAGATGATTGCCATCTCGGAATTCCTCCAACCAAACACATGCTTGCTCTTTAAGGGGGGCCTAAGCTCCCTTTAAATTTCACTGGATTTTAACAAGGGTTCTGAGCTCCCAAGAGCCCCTCCACCACACCACTGCTTGTTTATTATCAAAACTCTTGCTAAACTTTAAGAGGTCCTAATGACTGTTTTCCTTGACAGTTTCTAGCTGTAATGAATGGCACAAAGATTGATGGCAGAGAAATTGAAGTTCGCATGGATCGAAAATGAGCTCACATAAAGCTCGATGCTTTTCACAAACCGAATGAACACCCTTGCCGCGTTATTTTATATATATTTTGTTTTCAAACATACAAATCTTGTTGGGGATGATTAAAGCTAAACCTGGATCTCTAAAAGCTCGGAGATGACAAATTCGATAACTGTTGATTATCGAAGAATTTATGGCTTTGATATTGGATGTGAAGCAGTTTCTGAATCGAATCAAATGCTAGGCTAATTTGAGGTGGAGCACGAGTAGCTAGTACCAGAAGTAAGTCGACTAGTATCCCAGAAGGTCTGATAAAGCTAGTACACAAGAGCATCGATGTTTCTGAAGAGATTTTCAAAAGAAGGAGGCCCCATGTAAATCTAATGTATTTTAATTAAAAATGGTTCCCGCCAATGTGGAAAGGGAATCTCCGTTGATGTTATTGAACCTTCGTTGATATTATACATTTCTTGCGCGTGCTGACCTTTAGATACGTGTAATTATCAAAGCATAATGAGATTGCTATCATACTCATACTTGGTGAAATAGTTAAATTCTCTTTTGTTATACTCCTATTACAACAAGTTATTATCAAGATAACATATTATTAAGAGACCATTTGCCAGTGTTGAATCTAGTTTCCTTTTTAATGGAGAGCTGTCAGGTACACCTTTTTATACCAGTTGATTGTTTTGATGCCGGTCGATTGATACCGGCTGGTGGATGCCAATTTATCTAAGATTATTCCTTTCAAACAATAGGTTTATATAAACAGCTAACAACTGAGGATGCATTGATCGTGTCTTAAGCTGTATTAAGGACATGGTTATAATGCTGCTAAATCAGCCTTGGTACCATGGCAAAGTCCACCTCATGGTAGACTTGACATATGATTTCTTGCAAATCATAGCTCTTCACAGCCATAGTTTTGCAGTAAAATTCGTCGGGATGATAAAGTGGTGTTGTCATACAAATCTATTTCAATAATATTTGAATTTTTACCATATTTGCAGAGAAGCACCTCTAAATGTACAAAATCTTTTACAGAAATCAAAATATCTACATATTAACAGACAATATTACGCTATTTGGTCTATAGAACAGGACTGGTCTAAGTTGCTAGTCTGAGTTTTCTAAAATTACTGTTTACTGGTCTGTAATGAAGTGCTCGGTGCCGTATAGGCAGGGTTGTGCACGCTATTTGGTATATAGAACAGGACGGTTCTAAGTTGCTATTCTGAGTTTCGTTTCTATACCTAGAACATTCAAATATATTATTTTTGATTGAATACGACGCATTATTTGAATACTGTTTTATAACTTCACAAAAACCATATTGATAGTTTTGGTTTTACCAAGTTTATTTTTCCTTGAAAAGCTGTTTATGCTTTCATGTTTTGTAATTCGTAAATGTTAACGATTCCAAAGGTTTTTTATCTACATGTTGAATGGTTTCCTTGTAATGAATTCATGAAGTATTTTATGAACTTTGTATAATCGGTCAAAACTATCCCAAGATCGCTGCAAAGATTGAGTTAGGGCTTTAAGATTTATAGGACTAGCAAAGAATTTTGTTTTTATTCATTTTTTGTCTGTTATGTCAGCTGTAATAAAGATAATTCTCGATAAGAGTTACTGTGTCAGATATAATGTTTCGGTCGAATTGACGCATTTTTAGGTCATGGCGTGAACTTAAGCATCCCAAATTAAGGAGACTAACTAGAACGAGGGGCAAATCACTCTAAAAAAATCTCGTACACCCTTTGTGAAAATCCTATTGTTTTATCTAAAAATTTCCAGAAATCCTTTTGTTTTAGGCAAAATCTTGTACGCTATTTGCAAGAGTGAATCGCCCCTCAGACTAAAACGATTTTTCCAAGGGGCAAACAAGCAATTTTTTAACTTTTTTATAGTACATTTTTGGCAGTTTTAAATGAGGGTTTAACAATCATGATTTCTTTGCAATACTATCCTACTGTTAATGAACAAAAGTGGCAACGAGAAAGAACATATAACTAGAGTGTCTGTAGAAATAACAAGTTACCCGTAAATAGTTTGCGCTTTTCGTTTACGATCAAGCCAATGCTTGTTCAGGGAAGAAAGACAATTCAACCTGCCTCTCGTGTCGATGTAGCTGTTATGAAAAGTAACGAGAAGCGATTTTCGGAAATATACTCGCACAAATGGCGCCAAACAGAGGGAGCAAGGCGTTTTCGCTCTTTGTTATTGCATCAATTTTGCTGTTATCAGCAGTAGGAAAGGAATTAGAAGGAGTAATGAGTGATGCTGACCAGGATAGATTGCGACAGATAGGTATGCGAGACATTTCGTTGCTTTGATTGATTGTATCTTGTCACTGGTAAGACGTTCTTTAAATTCTTACCAACTCTTTCGAAATGTTTTCTTTAACAAGTCTATTCAATACGATATTTATTTTATTTTGTTACAAGTTTAGTATGCGAATATCTATGAGCAACGCCCCTACGAAGAATATGAATTTGATACTGTCGATAACAAGGTGTGGCTTCCAACAATCTAACGACACAATACATTTATCACTAATAGATAATTAAAGATTTCCTTCTTATCTCCATCGTCAGGATGCAGGCATTCTCAGGTGGGCTGAAGGGACGGCCTTGTTAAGTGAAGAAGGCTAAACAGTGCAAATTTGTCAAACTGGCAAAATTCTTTAACGATATCCAAAATAAAAAGCTTCTATCAATAGCCACATCATACAATATGTCAGGGTTGTTCTTCTAAATGTTTTTCCACAGGACCCTTAGGTAAGATCTCGGCTGAAGTACGACTTTTGCTATCCCAACGTAACGCTACAGCAGCGTCTGGAACTTGTAAAACTAGCCTTGTAAACTTGTAAAAAAACTTGTAATACTATGTAAAGGGAACCAAATATAAAAGCTGTTGAACCTTTCACGACTTTTATCCACCAGTTCCAATTTTGTATCACTGTTGTCTTGCTGGCTGCTCGTTTCTGAAACCTCTATTCCTTGCAGTATCACCACTTCAGTCTCGGAAAGATGTACCTGGAAAGTCAGATAATAAAGCCCAGGCTTCAAAAGTCGTACCCGATTCTCTTCCGCTAACGGCGGTTTTCAGTAGAAGCGAGAATGCATTTATGCATCTTATCGACGCCAATCGAGGTGAGTTTAATTTTAATAGATGTTTCAGAATTTTTTCCTCGCTTACACGAGAGAAATTGGCTCTATTTGGTGCAAGTTCTGTTCCAAAGGTGAGCCAGTAATAACCCGATTTATACGAGAAGCTGGATCTGTTTGGCAATGATGATACTTTCTGAATTTCATCTAAAGGTTTCGATATGACCAGTTTTTTCGGGAAAGGAATGAAAGATATCAAATGCAATGCAAATTGCTGGGTGTTCCAAGTACTTTTGGCAGGCATTGTTGTTTGAAATGTCACCCAGTGATATTAACATATTGTATGGTCTGAACATTTCATCATTATGCTTAATTTACCTTTCTTTGCACAAACAGTGAGTGGAGTTGAACCATATCAAGGAGATATGCTGTTGGACAAAGTCGACAAGGAGCAAATTAACCAAACGAGAGAGGACGAGAAGGCACGGAAATCGCTTACACCAGATGAATACAAAAAAAGAATGCAACAGAGCTCAAAGAAAAATATTGTGAGAAGAGCAGAGAAATTATGGGTATCCAAAGTTATTCCGTTTGAAATTGACCAAAGTAGAGGTAATGGCTTTTCTCTTTTTGAAGGAGTTTTATGGAGTACGGTGGAAAAGTTTTTTAATCCATCGTTTTGCATCAGACCATCAAACCTTTTGATTTCCAGAAACTAGCAAAGAAAATTCTTGGGGGTGTAAACTTTGCCAGCTATTTGTTGGCAAATAAATCTTATAACTGCCATAAAAGCCACACTCTTTACCAACCGGATTGATCTGAAACGTTGTTGAAAATTCAACATGAATCATAATGGGTTGAATTTAAAAATGCGCCTTATTAAGGAATTGTTTTACCACATTGACTAAACATACAGGTTTTTCGTCTCAGCTTTTATATTTGGAAATATATTGTAAGTTGTTGTCGTTGTATACACACCATATAGTATTGTGAGAAGGTTTGGATGCCTATGTGCTTCCTTAAACACAACCTTTTGTTTACATTTCCTAAAATTGGATGATTCCTTGCCTGCTTTGATCCTTTTTGATACTCTCGAAAGAAGAAGATTAAAGACATCTGCTTAATGTTTCCCATATAGCTGCAGCTAGACCGAAAATAGAGGAAGCCATGAGAGAACTCGAATCTGTCAGCTGTCTAAAATTTCGCAACAGACAACCGCAAGACCGAAATTGGATAAGAATATACCAAGGAATCGGGTGAGATTTAATTTTTCAATTTCAAAGCAGTACTTTGAACAAAAAAGTAGTACAAAATAAAGCCTAAAGATTGATGGTGTTTTGTTGTTTGCTGGCCATTTTTGTTATAGTTTCGTGGTCGAACACTTTTGATAGGCACCTAATCAACACACTTAAAAAATGTTCATGTGAATAACTGAACAACATATTTATTCGGTCAAGAGTTGATGAACGCTGTTAAGATGAAACTACAGGCTATCTTTATTTTCTTAGATAAAATCGGGATTAAAAGGCTCCGATTATTTAAAATATTTGCACCTAAATTTGCTTTAAAATTCTGCGCAGTAGCCTATGTAAGGTAACAAAGATTAGCTGCAGGATACACAAGTTTAAAAACAGAGGGACACATTGATGACGTCAATAGTATCTTTTTCGGACTTTATATTTTAATTATGTTTAATTAAAATCATATATAACTCAGTCACGATGGAATGCCTCACTTATTTGGTATTCACTTATATGTTCATATGGTTCATATGAATAAAAATTTGTTATTTTGACGCCACCTCTATTGTGTTGCATTTCAGAAGACCGTCCAAAGACACATGAATTGATACGGCCCCCTTTTAAAGAGAGTCTGCTAATTAAGCTCTAAGACGATAGTTAACTGCTACTCTTGCCTTAATTATATCTCTCTTTTACTGAAACAAATTCCCTTTAAAATTTTCCAGGTGTTTCTCGGACATTGGAAGAAGTTTTATGGCCAACCGGGCAACTGAGCTTTCCCTCGGTCAAATGTGTCTTTCTAAGAGTCTTATTATACACGAGCTTATGCATGCTCTTGGTATGTTTGAATTCGATATTGCTTGTCAAAGCATGCCTTTCAGTGCTTTGTGATTGGATAACATTCTGTGCTGCATTACAGCATAAAATTCTGTGCTCTATCCTAAAACTTGTATCTTATTTACATATTTCAGTATAACTGTGCTTATGAAATTGACAATGAAGATTTATATTTATGAAGATAGATAATGAAACTCTTCGAAGGTTTGATGTCTTTGCTATGCAAGATATCACGAACAAGAGAGTTTCATGACCACAGTCCTGCAGCTTCCATTTCCATATTCTGTGGAGCCTGCTACAATCCCGGATAAAAATGTTGAGGCAAAATGCAATTTTTGTAATTTTCTACTTTACCTTGCCCCTGTAAATTTGAATCACCCCTTTTACCCCCGAAGCAATGTTTGATTTGTTGTTCTATCATTTCTTCTTCAAAATCATGCATTCAACATTGAATTGGGGGAGGGGGGAAAGTTATTTTTTAAAGGAAAGTGAAAATATAAGCTTTTCTTGAAAAGTCTCAACCATTTTTGTCGGGGATTGTAGTTTTATCATGTTTTGTCTCGTCCAATTGCCTCACTTCAATTTCCACACTTAAATCAATTTGAAGCCAGTAAAGTTTCTCTGTTGCCGGATTTTACTTGTGCTCAATGTCTTCTTTGCAATGCACCAAGAAATCAAGGTTTAAGGAGGATAAAAAAATATTCTAAAACACGTTTGAAAAGTTAATCCTTGCAGTATTCAGATGGTGAAGCATCCATTATCGCAGTTAGCTGCATGCTGAAAATGCTACCTTTGTCACGTGAAATAATAAAATTTAGCTGTTACGTGAGAGACAATGTTAAACTGTGAAATTTGTTTTCAGTTTTAATTCAGCAATCAGTATTCGTTAAGGCAGCTTCAAGAATGCGGCCTATTATTATGATCTTAGAACTCTGATAAATTCTTTTGACTGTTTAAGTTAGCAACGGTCTTGCAGTACATTTTTAAAATTTCACCCACTCTCTTTCTTTTGACAGGATTTTTTCACGAGCAGAGTCGGATAGACCGAGACAGTTTTGTCAACATTTACAACGAAAACGTCAGGGCAGGTATCGTACTTTTGCTGAAAATTTTGCTGAAAAAAATAAGGCAAGCTTTGCCAACTTTAGTTGCTAAGTTTCTTAAATAGCATTATTTTATTCACAATCGTTTAAAAGATTGGAAAATATTGAAAAAGCAGAATTTCAGGTTGGAAAAAATTACGTCTTTCTTGGTGTAGAATTTGTGCATTGAATATTGAATATAGGCCACAGGTTTTGAAATATTCTCAAAATATCCGAGCGTTAACCCGAGGCAGCGCTAGCAATCTTAGTTCCTAGGCTTGATTCATATGCATTAGTAAGCTTCCGCGAACACAAAATGCTTGACAAGAATAGGCTTGAGCCACGTGAACAGATTACAGACATTGTGCACAGAAATTAGGTTTGAAATTGACATACTGCTGGGAAACGAGGATGATAATTCAATAATGATAAAACTTTTTTCAAGATGCGTTGTTTTCCAGATCGAAAAAATTGTTTAGTGTGATGTCATTGCGTTAAGTTTTATTTTTTACCCATTTCAAAAATGAAGTGTTTACAAGACATTGGTTCCTCGTAATATTTTTAACGATAATTTTTAGATCTTACAGTTTAAATAAACCATATTGTTTGTGATAATTAGTATAACGACATCTAAAATTTTGTTACGGTTCCGGACAAAATTCTTAAGTACTCATTTCCTTGGTTTCAAAAGTAGGATTGAGTTAGGACAGAGTGAAATTTTAATATATTAAGTTAGATGACCATGTTTTGGCAAGACAATTTTGCCAACCTTCAGAAATGACGAACTAATGATTTGTATGTGTAAAACTCCATCTACCAGTTCGTAACTAATTTACCTTGAATTAAAAAGCTAAATTTGAAAATCTCCAAGCCTTTTTATATAGGTACGCCACGTTCTATTGTAGACAGTTTTTATCAAGCTCTTTAATAAACAGGACCAGCTTTGTTAATTAATATTCCAAAACCTCGTTTGTTAAAATTCACAAAATCTTTGTCATGTCGACGTCCTGATTTTGTAGCGTGTGGACGAAGTGAGATTCTATCTAAAAAGGACCTTGAGTTGAAATGGTTTATATACTGTAGTGTCATAGACTTACTTTTAGTTATTCTTGATATATATTATTTTAGTTACTACTTACTCTTGGTTATTCACAAACTAGTTTGAATTTTCAACTTTAAGGATTTGATTCTAGACTTGAGAAATCTAATTCGGATAAGCTATCGGTTTTGCTTTATATATATTTTTCAGAAGCATGGCAATGATAGTTTTGAAATTGCAGATAATTTTCACGTTTTTCGACACTGATAAACGCAGTTATTGCACCGATGATGTCCCGTTGTTATCTTATCTTCTTATCTCATAGTACTTAACATTGATTTGTCAATTTCAATATGATTAGATAGTTGTGTAGTATTGATTCCTTGGGTCTTTATAGGTGATAACCCTATAGGTCATTGTAGGTGATAAGAAGGGTGTAGGCAATAGAAATAACTCAACATATCAAAAATAGTTGAAATCTGATTGAGTTATCAAGTATGTATGATTTTTACACCAGTCAATTCCATAATATAGTCTAGCGCTTTCAAAATATCTTTTTTTAAGTGGTTTTTTGTATTTGTATTTGTTTTTGTATTGTTTCTACCTAGCATCCGAAGGTAGTTTTTAGGACACTGAGAAGCTATGCTTATCGAGCAGTGTCCTGGTCCTTCCTCTCGATGTGACCACACCTCGTGATTCCTACGCCTGGAATTACAGAGAGCTGGCGACTCTCCCCACTCTGGGTGAAAGTTTGGTCATGCCAGGGACTCGAACCATGGACCCTTGGGTCTGTAGTCAGCGCCTCTAACAACTGAGCCATCATCGCACCTAGGGTTTCATCGATCGTCCAATGATAATAGAGTTCCAAAAATTCTTGTTACATTGCAGTTTTTTTATTTCTCTTCTACTAATGATAATGTCTCTCTCTCCCTCTATCAATGTCTTTCTAATGTTCACATCCAAAACCCTCAGAGATTAAACGTCAGATAATGAATAAAGATCAATAAAAATTCATATCCGATTCAGATAGAACGTAAGAGGAAGAATAACGAGTGTGTCGAGTTCCCTGTTTAAAATCAACCGCCGATTGCTAGCTGACGATCTCCAAGCTGAAAAGTCCAAGAGAGAAAACGAACTCCTCTCCATTTCAACACAAGTCGGGATCTTTTACTTTTATATAGACAGATTTTAAATGCTTTTATAAGAAGGCAACCTTGCTTCTCCAATTATTTTAAAATTTTCTTGAAAAAAGTTCTAGAAAAATATCAATAACGTTTAGAAGATAAGCATTTATATAGAAGATACACTATTTTTATATTCTGTATATGATGTTTTGGATATAAATTTGGTTACTTTTGGTAACCATAAAGCCATGTAGTTCTGACGGATGATGGAAAAAGAAAACGCTTTTTTCTTTGTTTTCGAACCGTTTCTCATTTTAATCCCATCCAAAACATCCTTTATAATCTTATCCAGAACATCCTTTATAATCCCATCAAGAACATCCTTTATAATCCCATCCAGAACATCCTTTATAGTCCCATCCAGAACATCCTTTATAATCCCATCCAGAACATCCTTTATAATCCCATTCAGACCCTCCTTTATAATCCCATCCAGAGCTTCCTTCTTTTCCCATCCAGAAGTTTTATTTTCCGTGAAGCACCCTTTTTACAACATAGTGTCATTATGTACTGTAACAAATTTGATTTAATGATTGATGGTTGAGAAGTTTGGATATTTTGTTAATTTGTCACGTACAGTCTTAAATGTTTAATTAAATGTTTAAATGTGTATCTAATTTTCGGATATCTCTTGTAATAGCAAAATTACCTTTTTCTAAGGAATGGAAAGCAACTTTGAGAAAATAGAGTCATACGAAGCGGATGTGCAGGACACAGATTACGATTTTGATTCAATCATGCAATATGGCAATACAGCCTTCACAACTAATGGCATGGACACGATGAGAGACAAATTTGATTTGAACCATCAGCTGGGTGGAAAGAACCTAAGCACTATCGATATCATTGAACTGAACAAAGCCTATCAGTGTCACTGTAAGTCTACGGCCTCGCTCTCACGTATATAGAATACCGAAGTGTGACGTCATAAGAAATATGTTTTTAAAATTTGACCACATAATCTGAAAAAACAGCATAAAATAATTCTCAAAATGCAAAATCAGTTAGATATCCTCAAAATTGGGTGAGATATGGCCAATGGAAGGTTTAAAGTTTGCTAACGGATTACTGTTATTCTGGCCTGATTCATAAAGTTGTGAACCAAGACCAAATAACAGAGATTTGACGGGGCAAGAGCCTGGGCTCATGTGGCCATTTCTCAGCCAATTTGTAATGCCTTCAACTGAATTTGCAAATTTAGAGGTATTTCACGATGCTCTTTCAGGTTCTGGGATCAAAATTAAAAAATTCTAAAAGTAGATTTTTATGACGTCATCACTTTGGTACTCTATATTTACCATTGTTTATGATTGTAAACCCAAAGAGAACATGCTGTCTACGGCGGTCTCTGATTGACTGAACTGGGAAAACTTTAACAAATCTTTTGAGTCAATCGCTACAGAAAATAGAAAAGTACAAATCGACTCACCTTTTGTATTAGTTAAAGTAGCAAAGTAAAAATTGTTCAGCTTCAGGAAATTTCTAGTCTATTTTTAACTGGGCCTATTTTCAACTCGCATCAATAACAACCACCTTAATCCGGCCTTGCATCTTTTACAAAATGGGGCTGGCTCGAGCGAAGAGTAAGCGCTGCAAAAGTGAGGCCAAAATTTCTCTAATACTGTTGAATTTTGACAAAAAAGTTCTGATTTGCTTGATAAAGGAATTTCCTCCCACAAGCCTGTACATTGAAACTCAATTGAAATGTTCCGATCAAGAGCCCTAGCAACTTTGAAAGTGCAGATCCTGATCACTTGCGGGATCCGCCATACTGTCAAATGTTTTGATTCTTTTACATTCTGTACATTTTAGCCAACAAGAAAATCTGGAGTGACTGGGGCGCGTGGTCTCCTTGTATGCTAGACTGGTCGCAGAAATGTACACACAGTCGTCAGAGATACTGCTTCTCGGAAGTGGAGGCGCAATGTGGCAAGGCAGATGAATATGGGGTCGAAACAATAGATGAAGTTTGCGATGCAAAGGAATGCGAACGTAAATTATTTTCTTGTATCATATTTTCTTATGATCAGGCTGGTATGATTGGGGGGGGGGGCAAAGGCAAGTTGAGCGAGGGAACAATGGGGGTCCACACCCTTTGGAACGCTTGAAACCCCCCTTTTTCAAAAGGATTTTTGCCATTTGGGAAGGGGGAATCCGCTACTTTTAGAATTTAAATACTATTTGCCACGGGTTTTATGCTCAAGAATTCCTGATGCAATATTTTTCGCTCTGTTTTTTCGGTGAATTTTTGACAGTAGAGATAAATACTTAATTTTCCCCCAAGGGGTTATTGGCATTAAGGATTCCCTGTTTCTCATTTTCAAGCTGCCTCTTGAGAAAACGTTTTTATTTGTGAACTTTAGCGGAGAAAAATTAGTGATACAAGCAAATGCGAGTCTGAGATCAGTTTTGCCGATGCGTAACCAATCCTTTGTGTTACTTTTGTACCTTATTCGACCAGCTAGATATTTCTCGATTGTGTATGTTTTCTTTGCTGCGATGTGCTGTGTGTTTGGATGTCGTGGTTTTGCGCAGTCATGTCGTGGCCTATCCTCCAAATTCTAATCTTAATAGACAGCTATTTAGCTCCACAAAAAGCCGGAACAATTTCATTCTAGAAAAGGTGAACGGACACTGGGGTGCTTGGGCCAATTGGGGCCAATGCTCAACGTCATGTGATGAGGGTAAGCGGAAAAGAACCCGACAATGCGATAATCCGAAGCCGGAGAAGGGTGGAACAACATGCAAGGGAAAGGCTACGGAAGCAGACACCTGTAGACTCATGAGATGCCATAAAGGTATTCTTTACAGCCTGTGAAATTCCCTCTTTATAAATGATATTTCTACCTTATAGTGTACAACAAGGTACAATGTTTTATTATTTCAGTTCTTATAATATCTTGTTTACGTGGGAACTTTTTTTGAGTTTTGGTATCTATACTCAAGATGGATTAACTTATCTTTGTGAACTTTTTACCTGCAATATTATCTCTTCTGTTTGAGGACTAAATAGACTTATTCAACGATCCCTCTCAAAGGCTCCATTATTGTTCTATTTTACATTACTTCGGCTTGTTTTGTGTCCTGCTCTACAACGAGTTACTTTTATTGGACAGTGTCTTTCCTTCTGTGTTCTGTTTTCATCACTTTCTGTGATCATTTCTAGCTTTTTTAGGCCGAATTTAGGTTTTTTTGAGCTCTATCAGAAATATTATCCATCCCTCTTCTCCAGAACCAGATGATACAAATTTTGAAGATGGCTGGGGAATGTGGGAGCAAGACAAAGACGACGACTTTGACTGGGAACTAAGAACCGGGGGCACACCCACACTTATGACCGGACCAGATAAGGATCATACAACCGGGGACGGTAAGTTCAACAATATTTCTATGATAGTAAAAGTAGACTTTTTTAACACCATCAATTGTACCATCAGTTTCATGCTATTTCATACCTTTGTCTCTCTCTCAGGTTGGTGTACTGTTATGGCCTAAGAACACTATATTCTATAAGAACACTGTATTAGCTATTAAACAGATTTTGCCAAAATGTTTTTGTGCCACCAATTTTCTGCAAAAGACTACATTCAAAGAAGGGTGATGACTACAAGATACTTTGAAAGATAAACAATACTTATCACTTTTCTTAGCTTTATCTTCAACCACTGACTAATATCATTCTTGCTTGTAGGCTACTACGCATACATCGAAGGCTCACCGCCTCGTTATCCCGACGAGGTAGCCCGGCTTGTCAGCAAGGAGTTTTACCCAAGTTTCGACGAGCATTGCTTTACATTCTATTACCTGATGAATGGAAAGCATGTTGGATACTTGGATCTTCATGTAAAATCGAAGTCGAACAAAATTATCGATCTGTTCAGGAAAAATGGCCATCAAGGACCCGACTGGCTAAACGCAGCCGTGAATATACCTGACATGAAAGAACCTTTCAGGGTAAATAAATTTGTGTGGCTTCCTTAAAAAATTGTTTTCCTGAAGGTAGCTGTGAATTCTTGAAAGCAGGGTGTATACCTTCTTGCCTTCTTTACAACAAACTAAAAATCTTAGCCTAGCAAGCAAACCCAAGTTAAAGAATTTACGCTTGCAGAAGAAATCTTTTTATCCAATTCGATAGAAAATTAGTGAAAATCATTCCGAATAGCAGTGTTAATCGCAACTTGTCATTACTGCCGAAATCACATAACAATTTTACATTAGCTGTTCGTTGTTAAGTGAACATTCATTGCAGTATCTCTTAATGTTGACACTGTCGCAAAGCACATTCAATGTGAATTAATTTACCGAATTTCGGACTACTTTTCTTGCTCACTGAGCTTTCAAACAGGCTAGGTTTTTAATTTTTAGATAGAATTTTAACAAACTTTAGCGATTTTTTTAAGTTTAACGGAACTACCCTCAAATACTACAGGAATCTCTTCTCGTCTAAGTATGGTTATAATTGCTACGAAGATTGTCTTTTTTTCTCGAATGTCTATCAAATTTTCTTTGATTTCAGTTGATTTTTGAAGCAAAAAGAGGTAACGGCGAACTGTCTGACATAGCCATAGACGATCTTTACTTCGACGAAAGACGTTGTTTGCTTCATGAACAAGGTATTATTTCAACGTCAACCTAAAACCATTTTAACTTGATTCTCATGTGCACTTTTTGCGATTTTCGTCATTTAGTTACTCATTGGGCGAAGCCCCGTTACCGTTCTTAAAGATTCCTTCAGTGTGCTGCTCCGCAGAGCATAAAACATCTAACAATAGCTGAAAGAAAAGGCCTAAATACAAAGTTTGGTGTAGAGAAAACATTTCACTCTTTCAAATCATTTAAGCGTTATTTAGCTCAATTTGAATTATAATGGGGAAAATGAAAGTTTTTTTGGATTCTTTTTTACAGAAGTATTTAGGGATTCATATCCTTTCCTCACCATCCGCGATCTCCATTACCCACCTCAAGTTTGCTATTTGGTCTCTCGTCCTTTCCTGAATCCAGCCTGTTCTACAGGCATTTTTCATTTCATGGGTATTTGCATTCGGTGTTGTATGATTTTGAGCAACAAGAACCCCTAGCGAAATCAAATTCCAAAACATCCTTCGTGAAATTAACTTTAACATGAAATTAGCATATGTTGGCTCAATATTTTACAGGTTGTCAAGATCACAACCCGAGCTGCGGAGACTGGACTGCAGTTGGTGAATGCCAGTTGAACAAAGCATGGATGAAGAAGCACTGCTGTAAATCATGTTATGGTGAGTTGCTACTGTGCATTGAGGGAAAGGATTTGTTAGCACAGAAGTACTTGGTAACGTTGTCTGCTTTGTGAAGAGTGTAGGAGACTGAGAACCTATTTACACTACAGAAAGAAGAACTCTTGGTTCCGTTCTTTTTTTGACACGATCCACTTTTTTCATCGCGTTTATACCGAAACAAAAAGGAACGGAATCAAATTTGACCCCGTTTACAATTGAGTAAAAAGAACGGAACTTTCAGGTGAAGCATGCGCAGTGACGCGGTAATGACGTCTGAAATTATCAGAAAGCTTCGCCTCAACCCTTGTTTAAGCCCCGTTTTCAATCGTAACGAAAACGTTCCGTTCCTGACCGTTTACACTAGAAAAATAAGCCCGATTTGGGAACGGAACCCAGGAGTTTCGCATTTTAGCAAAACCAAAGAAGAACGGAACCGTTCCCAAACTAGCACGGAACCAAGTGTAAACGCAAGGCCTGTCATCGCTTCCAATAGTTTCGTTCTTTTTTTGTAGTGTTCACGGGGTCTCAATCCTTTTTATTAATAGACATTTGTGTACACAAATTGACCCAGGAAGCTTGATTTACTCCAAGAAGCCCCTCTTGTATGGAATTATCTGCGTCAAATTGCAATCCCGTCCAAAATCTTGGAACACTGACATAAGTTTTCAAAGGCAAATTCAGCCAACCCCTCTCCTCCTAGGGACAATGTTTATTTACTTTGAAAAACGAAAAAGGTTATGGAGTTCTCTTGTGGTTTCTATCATCTTTTTCTAGATTATTAGGATAGTTTGAGGAGGGATGGGTGGAAAGTAGTGCTCCTCGGGGAAAAATGGAAAAATGATAAGCATATTGGCAAAGTATTCCATAGCATTTTGACAGGAATTGTGGGTTGTTATATTTTCTAACAATATGGGATTAGTATGATCGAGTAAAATGCCAAGTTTTCTTAACACAGGCTAGGCTTCCAAAAGAATGCTCTTTACAATATATTCTAATTGATGTTATCTATACGTTGGGGAATTTTTTTGACAATATGTCTTTTTTATTTTTGTAGATATTGGAGAATGCACCAACAAGCACCAGAAATGCAAGTATTGGGCAAAGAGAGCACAGTGTGTGGCAAACAAAGAATGGATGTGGAAAAACTGCTGTCGCTCCTGTCGCAGTAATTATGGCTTTCAATTATTTTCCTTGGCTTAATCAATTTTCTAGTGCAAATAGCTTTTATTCATGCAAATCTTAGCTTAGTTCCTTATGATTACTGAGGCGTTTAACATCTGTCAAATTGGCACCAAATTCGCGACCAAGTATCTTTAACCAGATAAGTTCATGCTCATAAAATGAATCAGCATGAGAAACTTTAAGGGCTCTATGTACCGCTGCTGATTTTAGTTTCTGTTGCAATGCTTCTAGATGCTGATTGATGAAGTTAGCCCGTAAGGAAAAATTTTCCAGGGATTCAAGGGGAAGGCAAAGTTGTCTATGGTTTCAAAGGGAAGGCAAAGTAGTCTAGGGATTCAAGGATTTTGTCTTGTCTTGTCTTGTCTTGTCTTGTCTTGTCTTGTCTTGTCTTGTCTTGTCTTGTCTTGTCTTGTCTCGTCTCGTCTCGTCTCGTCTCGTCTCGTCTCGTCTCGTCTCGTCTCGTCTCATCTTCTCACATAACTGGAGCTTCGTCTTCATGACTTGGAACTAGCATTTCTACCATTCGTTGAACATATATTCATTTCTATAACGAATGCCGAGAAATAGGTACCAGGAGTTTCTTGCCTTTCTCAAGAATCTAATTCCTAAAATTGCTTGACTATTTTATTGCCACACAAAAGCTGAATGCAAATTGGTATTATCGTATAATTCAGCATTAGATTTACAAAATCACACATCACTCGTTGAAATACTTGAAATGGAAGAAATTGTTTAGGCATACAGTTGTTTTTATGACCGGATAATGCGGGCATCGTTTTCTTTTCAATACCTGGATAAATCTCAAATCTCAAAGGAGTAGAAGTATATTAGCGGTGCTAAGCAAGTGGTGAGAGTTTCCTAGCTGCGCAGAATCCTCATCACTATAATGATAACACGAATATTTTAACAGGACAAAAGCTTCAACAAAGTCATTGCTGTTATCACTGTTTAGAAGAGAGAAAATAAAAAATTTAAAACCCAGATAAAGATATCGTAATAAAAGTCCACAATAATGTAAAACTTACTTTTTTCCTTAACCTTTCTCTCTTCAAAGCAAATCCACTTTTTCCTTAGATATCGTGTCAGTTACTGAGTTCCTTGAGAGAATATCGATTTGTGCACACCAAGTTTTGCTCCTCTTTTTCAACTTAGCATCAAACAGCAATTAGACGTCGAAGTTTTTCTGCTTTTTGTCTAGAAGTAGTTGATCTTTATTTTACCAGCAAACATTCCAAAAATAAAAGAAAAGAGCTCTCAGTCTCGCTCTGATCTCAGCCGCGCTCTAATTCCAGCCTCGCTCTAATTAGAGCCTCGTTCTATTTTCAGCCTGGCTTTAATTTGAGCCTCGTTGCTCCTTCAAATGGCACTAAATTATATACCTTCCACTTTTGGAGCTGTTCCATGTTTCCATATTCCTGTAAATCATGATTTTCAATTACTTTTGTTTCATTCAGTATTGTGACTTTGTGCTGTAACGCTGACATTTTAGATTCATTGTATTCTTGCATTCTCATTTCTCACTACCAGTGCTCGTATATCTTCTGCCATGCTTTCTAAGCGAACTCTACATATGGCGTTATTATTTTATGGCTTTGAATTGCTAGTTTTGACATGAACCCTTCAGAGCCTCACGCTCGATCGCTTGTAAAAACACAATTCTTCTATTATGTCCAAGCTCTGAATATTTTGAGAAGAGAATCTTCCTGTCAATATATGCATAACTGGTGACAGACCTCTACCGACGCTCTAAAACAATCCAAATGTAGTTTGATAGAAATGTTTATGTGAATTCCTAGAAAACGCTTAAGTAATTAAGCCTTTTTTATGTACATCTTTCTAAAAAGCACTGAAAACGATTCTAGCAACAAACGAGTGAAAAACTTTCCTTGTCTTGATTGAAGATGCATTTTTAATGCTCCATCTTGCTATCTTCCCAGGCTTTTCAGGTTAAGACAGTGAAGTGTTTTGTAGCAGTTTTTGGCGATCTTTCTACTAAAGTGTGTGGTTTTCTTGCGAATCATCCCTCATTTGATATTTCATATTTGATTCTGTTCTCTAGTTCCTTTAACAAATGTATGTGCCTAGTAGCTATAGGTAAAATTAACCAAATAAAATGATTTTTTTAAAAAAAAATGAGAAGATAGACGCCTCTTGGCCTTCAGTACTGAACAGGACTATTAAAAAACCTTTACATCATATTTTTTATAAACTTTTCATAAATAATAGTTAAATGAAACAGTTTTTTTCTGAATACACTAAAGGTTTCTGTAAATGTCCACTAGCTGCAGGAATAAGATATTTATCAATAGCTCGGTAAGCTGACCTTTGTAGTCACTCGATAGCCTGTTTGGTGGAGGAGGGAATCTTTTAAAAGTTATGTTAAACCCAAAATTAAAGCCAAAGATATAAAATGCTCAATAAAATGTAATTTTATATTTTGTTATTTAAAAGCAACTTAACCACGTCGCTCCTAGATAGTTCACCCGTGCAGTCCATTTTTGTCAGTTCTAGGGAACGTTTTCACCAACCCCAACCTTGGTTTTTAGGCCCTATCGATGTATGAATAATTTCAAAAGTGAGGGAAGGGGGGGGGGGGTACATGTATGCCCAAAAACAGCTTGTGAGTTCAAAACAGCCACTTTACCTTTCTTTTTGAAAAAGTGAGGGGACAAATGTCGTGATGGCTCCAGATTTCCATCGTCTATTTACCATTGGTCTTAATAAAACTGGCATTTAATATTGTATTGCAATGCAAAACAGAATTTTAGTAATTTTCATTAGAGATCGATAGATAGATAAACTTTATTTATAAAGGATAAATCAGGTTAGTCTTAAAACTAACCGTTTGAGAAGTTTGTTTTCTTATGCGAGTTTTGAATGATTTTATAGAATGTCAAAACACGCATCCAGACTGTGAGCCATGGAGTGAATCCGGGGAATGCAAGAACAATCCAAAATGGATGGCAGAGAACTGTCCTGCAAGTTGTAAATCGTGTAACCTTCCAATGGCATAATATGATTAGTTCGCTTGTTTTTCTGTAAATTAAAAATGCATAGAAATTCTAGCATGTCAAGTGGATTATTTAATTGTAGATTCAACTATGTTGATTATATTAAATTATAAGTCAACAGTAGCTATTACTTTAATGGAATTAAAATTCTATCACAAGTAAACGGATGATGAAACTACAATTTTGCATAATTTTAGCTAAAATTTTGTGCATAAATCCTTACGTAACCTAATTTGTCTTAGTGACTGTTTGCAAAATTTGTAACTTCCTTAATCAATGCCTGTTTTAAAGAAATATACAGGTGCCATAAGTTGGTAATGTCAGTGGGATGTCGTTTTCATCGTGTTGTTTTGGTATCTGTTGCTATCAACCTCAGCCAACATCTGCTTGCAAAAGAAATTTTAGACACCAAAATATTTCAAAAGTCCACTATATCCATAATGTAACTTTTCAATATGGTTACAACTTCTGTAGCTTTGCTTAGGCCACCAAATCTATGGCCGGAACTCCTGTAAAGTTTTGGCGACAGAAACCAAAGCTAAGAAATTCAATTTATAAATTTGCTTTCTAAAATTCCTACCTGCATTTAACGATCTCAATTCTACGGTCAAATTACATACAAATTTCATACAATCGCTGACACAGCTTTGTAACAAAATATATTATAGTAAAGGTCATATCGTGTTGACATGCTAGTATTGCAACTAAAACCTGTGCAAAAAGAGTTTGATAATAACATCAAATTTGAAGGTCGAATTTGGCCATCCTCGTCTCCCCATTAAAACAACGCTGACTTGCAACAGAGTGGCTTATGAGATTAGGAAGAATGTAGTTTCATGCAAATTGTATGGTATTTTCCTAGGCTAAATTTTTTGTTTTATCACGGAAGGGGAAGCCGAAATCGTAGCGTTAGGGAAAGACACGACCTTATATAGACTCAAGCTAACGGAGGAGTTCTAAGTTTTTTGCCAGGCATTGTCGAAGCTGGAAAAATATTAATATATTGTTTTATTAAACAATTCACAATAGGTAACTGTTTTAAAAAGTAGTCTTGGACCTTTAACAGAGCTAGAATGTTTGCGACATAAATGGTGTGCGACAAGGATCGCATCTCGTAATCAATATTCCTTGGTAAATGGCTACTATTGCGAAATGTAATCATGAAATCGTGCTTTCTTGTGGGATTTGATGTTGCTTTTCATTTCTTTCGTAACATTTTCTCCTTTTTTGTTACTTTTCTTGACCGCGAGTCTTCAAGTTTCAAGTGCTAACTGTAATAAAGATCTTATTGAGTGACCCTTTGATCTGGCGTAGTGGCTTCAAAGGCGCGGGTAAGGGCAACTCTTACCTTTGATCGCATAGCTGAGTGTTACTCTCCGGGTGGTTGGGTAGAAGCTTGAAGATATCTTAGTATTTCATGACAGGTATGGATTAAAAGAGCAATTGATTAGCAAAGTTATTGAACCTGTTGGAACCAAGGTAATACGGATGCTCAGAAATCGAAAATAAACACTTACTAAACTGGATAAAGCGATTGCAGAAAATGTCGCAGGTAAAATGAAGAATATTTTTGTGTTTCTATGGACCTTATTGACTTTCAATCTAATATTACACATTAATGGGAATATATACTTTCCGGAGCTGTACGAGGATGACTTATACAAGCCGGCCAATCTAGGCCCATTTCCCATGTCCTACGAAACAACAACGAAATCGAATACTACATTGGTGCAATGGAGTATTACCGGCGATCACTTGCTTGCGACTGCCGGATTTTCTGAAGACAGTGGCCCTAATAATTGCGTCATTGCTAAACTGAACTTCAATGAATTGAAAGATCAATGTAAAACAATTCATAATGCAATCCTGATTGATGATTTTAAGTACATTTTATCCTTACAATGTAAATCACGGAACAGAGCGCTACTCGTGCGCTTAGCCGATAGCTGTAGCACTGAAGCATCCGATACCAAATGGGAGCTTGTGTTTACGTCTTTTGATAATAAAAGGGAATTGCGTTTGAATCGCATTGGAAACCGGACCGCCTCCGTTGTTGTTTGGTTGAGAAACTCTCCGTTTTATTCAATCATTCACGCTAACAAATGGCCTCAGTCAAAGATTTCTCTGGAGAGCAACCTTGTTATGGGGGATCTTCAAAGTGATATTAAGATAACTGACGTGCAAGCTTCATTCAGCACATTGTATATATTTTCAGAGAGTTGCCTTTACTTTTGCCCGCTTGGAGCTTGTCGTGAGATTGAAGCCGTTTCAGATAGCTGTGTCCTTACACCAAATAATGAAACTATCAGTGGCCAAATGCATGTGGTTCTAGACGGCGAGCGATTGATTGTCCTGGATAAATTCGTACCGTTATCGACAGAAGCACATTCATTTCGGGGCTACTTTTCAATATATTGCACCGGCAAGCTTTCTCTACGTATGTTTAAATGTGGTGGCTTTCAAGTCCAGGATATTGTCATGACTTTCAATATGATAACAAGGAACCCTGCATTCTATTTTCCCTGCAGTGTATCAACGGAAGGGACGCTTATTGCTTGCCTGATTCTCGGGGAGCCGCGCATTTTCGATATCAGTGATCGAAAGTCGGCCTATCCCATATCTGCATTTACTGTTTCCGCGTGGAGGCTTGGTGTCGCTATAAATCGCTTCGGCTTTGCCTCTCCAGACATATTCTTCTTTGAAATAGTGCCTACGCAAACGGCAGACCCTCGTGGATTTATATTCAATGTACGTTCAGAACTGCAACCAGCTCTTATTGCGTCGAGACTCTTATACCCCTCGCTCGCTACGAGCATTACGCCTGCCGAATCGTTTCTCCTCGTCAATCATCAAAACAAAGATATATGGCTCTTTTCGCATGGCGGTCGTATCTTTCACCGAGATGGAAGCAAAGAAAGCTCACTCAGCAGCGATTTTGAATATGCCGACACATACAGCTTCTTTATTGCCGATAGTTTCTCAGCAGCAGGAATAAACCACAACTTCGAACACCCTTTTGCGTTCTTTTCGCCTAACCGAGACTATTTTGCGTACCTTTCGTACTATCGTTCACCCTACGGCGCATTTTCGGCTTCAGCAATTACAGTGACGAAGTCGAATGTCGCTGATCTACATTCTATTGTCAGTATTTCGGATAAGGTGTTCGTCATTCAAGCTGGTATCGATCCGAAAAACGAGCTGTTGCTTGTTGTCCAGGAACTGTCTACCAATTACTTAACTCTTCAGCTGTTTAAAATATCAAGCATGGCCCATTTGTCGTATAATATGAGTGGGATTTTGGCTCAAGCAGAAATCAAAGGAAGCTGGTCCTGGGACGATTTTGATGCCACCGAATCTACGCGAATATGGGTGATCTATTTTACGAGTGACAACACTTTCTTCGTTGCTAGCCACAATGACGGAAATATTACGACGACTCTTATTCATTACAAAATAAAAGAAGATTACAGTCTGGAGGAAAAGGAAAAAATTGAAATTCCAAATTGTCTTGTTGTTACAAATTATAACGATTATTTAAGCTCGCAAATTTTTATACTTTGCGCTGAAACACCGCTGAAGAATATTGTAAACCAGACGTATCACATCCATGTCATGTCTGCATTGACTCACAAAACAGTTTGCACATTGAGTATCGATCACAAGTTTGGAAGTTTGCTATCCAAATATGACGATCTTTTCGTTACGAATATTCCGCTATTTGACTATAGCGAGATCGCGCAACGTCTCGTAATTTCGTTCGAGAAGACAGTACTAATGTATGCTACAGAGAGCTGCCCTTTTCGACTGTTATACCGGTTTGACCACACCGATCTCATTGCTGGCATCGGGACAATTCACATGGGGCAAAGCCAAAAGCCTTTTGGGATAACATTTGTAACCTACTTGCAAAAAGTTGATTTAATCGGCGATTGCATTAATGGATATGGAGTAGATGCTGTCTTACCAAGAAACTACTTTTGCTCTCGTTGTACGCCCGGTCATGTAGGTCTCGGTTGCAGCCCATGTCCGGCAGGGTTTTATTGCAGTGACTACAGCATGTTGCAGCCTAGCGGCGCATGCCCAGAAGGATTCTTCTGTTTAGAAGGAACATCCACCTCAAACCCAATGGCCGATGTCCTCGACAAAACCGCCACTCCACCTCATTTGTGTCCTGCAGGTGCTTATTGCCCAGCAGGGACTGCCTTGTCAGAAACTAACGACGAGGCAGCAAATGCTCCGCAGTCTTGTATTTCTGGGTACTACTGTCCGCTTGGGTCAGTTAGGCCTACGCAGGGAAGGTGTCCAGAGAATGCAACCTCACGTCCGGGTAGTAAGATACTAAGGGACTGCTTTTGCAAGCCACATTTTTATGGAGATGCAATGACCAGGTGCATACCTTGTTTGCAACAGGGTATTTGCATTGGCGGAGGAGGCAATTCTACTAATAGTTCAGCCATGGTTGTTCCGCCTGGTTATTGGCCGGACAGTCCGGAAAATTCAAGGATTCTCATCAAGTGTTACACAAGTATAACAAGGTTTACCCCTTGCAAAGGCTCGTTATGCAAATTGACTTGTAGAAACAAAACCAGCCCGGACGAAGAGAGGCAATGTGTTGCAATATGTACGGATCCGTGTGTTGTTGGACATGGAGGTCGCTTATGCTCCAAATGTGAAGAAGGGTATTACAGGAAAAGTCCCTACCATTGTGCACCATGTGTAATGGGACTTAAGCAGACAATATGTCTCGTGATTGCTGTGTCAGCCTCGATACTGGTGCTTACATTCTATTTCATGCGCAAGCACAAGGCAAGCGGTAACCAAGAGCTGATTCATACAATCGCCGACAGTCAAGTACTTGAAGTGCTTATTACGTTTTTGTTAGTTCTGCTCGGGATATCTTCAACAGCAACAGTTGTTTTCATGGTTTTTATTGTATTGATCGTTTATCTGCAGCAGCTCCGCTCTCCACCCTACGCGACAATGATATTTATTTTCTACATACAAACTACACAAGCTCTTCTGCAAGGTAACTTCGTATGGCCGTCGTTTCTCGCGTACCTTCTGCAGTTATTCGAGATTATGTACGCCCCGGTTCCCGGCCTAGCCTGCTTGCCAAATATATTCACCGGGAAGCAGTTGGGTTGGGAAGGCGCCTTTGTGCTTATATTTACATTTCCATTGTTTCTCGGTAGCCTTATACTGTTTTACATAATAGTAACTGGTACTGTACAGAAGAAGCCTGTTTGGAAGAAAGCATTTCTTTCTTATTGGCTTCTACTTTCTGTACTGCAGTTCCCACTGGGCAATATGAGTCTTGGCACCTTGAGCTGCAGGATAGACCCCGTGACAAGATTACGTTATATGTCATCGCAACCTTGGAAGGAATGCCGTATCACGTCTTTTATACAAATTTTTGGAGTATTTGGACTTGTGTTATATTTTCTTGGAATACCATTCACCTTGCATTACTGGTTTTGGAACAAAGTCTTTCCTGATCCCCTAAACAAGGAAATCGGCCACTTATTATTACCTGGTGGTGTTCCAACGCACACTGTACCACATGTTATGTTCATCATCTTTTTAACTATTCGTTGGATGATGTTGTCTGTCATATTGTCATTTATACCAATAGACTGGGGCTTGCAAAGACCATTAATTGTGACATTGCTTGCTGTAAATATTCTTCTGGTTGTCCAGGTTAACCCATATGAAAATTACTATCCACGACAGCCGGATGATCTTGACTTAATAGAAAAAAAATGGTTCGATCGGCTTTGCTGCACTCTCACGGGCAACTTTCTCGATCTGACGTCACTAGTTGCCATTCTCATATCATACACCTCACTAGACAATCGGGACAACTACGCCATTCTGCAACTGAAATCCTTTGTCATTGGACTGGCGAACCTTCTTATCTGCCTCTATTTCATTGTGTTTGTTTTGCTTGAAGATCGACTATCTTTGTTTCCTAAGACTTCAAGATTTCTTGGCTGGATTGAAAAACTATTAATGTGCAAACAGCTTTGTCTGAAAAACGATTTACCTGACAATAAAGATAAACAAAATCAACCAGCTGCCAGCACGGTTCTTAGTAAAGCTGGCGTTCCGCAAGATGTTAAAATGAAACTTGAACCTTAAGCAATTTTTGTATTTGTTGTTTAAAGTTTTACATTAAAATGTAATCTAAAATCCAAGAATCAATATTTTTGGTCATGTATAAAGCTTTTTTATAGTTGTTATTAGTACATCTCTACCTGGTAGACTGCTTATTTACCATCGAAGCGTTGTTGCCATGCAACCTTCCTGTTAACCTGTTAATATCTGTGTTTTCAGGCCGTTGGTAGTTTAGACACACCTGAATATTAATCTTGGTAGGCTTTTCTTTAGCAGCGTGCTGATTCTAAGGTTAACTGCATTTCAAAGAGACATTTCTTAAAGGCATCGAGTCATGATAAAACGGATTGGGTATACCCTAAGTGCCAAAATCCGCTGGGTCTGGGTTTTCATTACTGCGATGCTATTGGTTGATCTGGAACTGGTCACATGAACTCAGCTCGTACTGATGGACAAAACAATTTTCATCAATAGCAAGTTGTTAACAATGGATGCAAATATCACATGAAACAGCAGCGATCACGCCGTAACCAAATGACCCCTTATAGAGAAGGCCTATTTACCATGACTCAATGCCTTTAATGTTCAAAATGTCCGCAATCTATATCTGCACAGTGATGCTTAAAATTCATAGATGTTTTCTCACAACCCGCCATAAAAAATTTAAGCTTTCCTGGGTTTACTATTTGGAGGTTTATTTAGCATTGCTTATAAGAATACGAATAATCAAATTTCAATTATAATGGTTTTTTGGTTTTTCATATTTATCGTAGGGCAGGATTTGCATCGTTGAATTTGAGTCTCTTTTAACTTCTATGTTTCTTCTTAATCAGCGAATTATTTTAGCAGTAAGAGCCGTCTGTGTCCATCGATACATAGCTTGAAACATGTTTTACGATAAATTAATAATTGGTATGGAATAAAAATAACACACTCAATTAGTTAAAGCCTGGAGAAGGCATAGCGAGAATTCTAACGTTTTCGTTTTTAAAAATGCGTTGGTTGTTTTACATTAATGTTAAGACTTTCACAAAATTCAAAGCATTTGTTGATTGTCACTATGCACAAGACATATGTTGTTCTCGGAGGTCTTTGGTTCTCAAACTTTTCTTTCTTGTAAAATTTCCTTACCTAATGAATAACGACGTGATTGACAATATTCAATCTTCATTATACTGTCTCATCTAACGTATCATAAAGGGAACGCAGCAGTTGTCAGAGTGAAAATATAGTTTGCCTCTAATTATATTATATATGTATGCAGCAAAACTAGATGATTAGTTAAAACAGCAAATATCTAAGGAAATTGCTCATTATCCTGTCTAGCTGGTTATAAGCCTGTCAACATGGCTTTATCTTCTCTGGTTTCTAAGTTAAATTCAAAAAGTAAATCCAGTTTACAATTTATTTTAGCTTAAGTTAGCACAAGTTTAGCAATCTGTAAAATAATGTCCTAGGAATGTGACAAAGGTAACGTTAAAATACTCTCTCTAACGTCTCTTTTCACCAAAACCTTATTCACCTTCATTTTCAGTAATGTTGACTTGAAAAGGGCTACCAGCTACTGGCTCCCCTTTCCAGAGAGCCTCGATTGAGTGTAAGCCTGATGTACTGGGAAAATATGTTGCTTTGTGGACGTTGCCTTCGACGCTTTCGATTTCAACAGCAACCTCATTTCCATTGGCATCTTGAACTTTGCATGTAAAACTGAAAACGTCTTCGTTATTTGAGGTTATTTGAAATGACGTTGCTTTTCCTTTGACACCCTTAACTAGGCCATCTCCTTTAATGCAATATTGGTCTTTTGCTTCTACATTTGTCTCGGTATGGTGTGCTTCCTCTACAACGGCCTCGCTCTCAGTCACGAAAACAACAACTTCTTCGTTCATAATGGTTTCTTCCTTTTTGCCTTCGGATGTTGCCTTTTCTTCGTTATCTTCTTTTTTTTCTTCTGAGTCCTTCTCATTTCCTTCTTCTTGACCTTCTTCTTCATCTCCATTTATAAGCTTTTTCTCATTTTCAGTAAGTCCATCTTTATCTCCCTCTTCACTACTTTCATTTTTACTTTTTTTGGATTTCTTTTCTTCCTTTTTTTTCTTTTCTGGTTTTTCTTTGCTTGACTTTTTTCCAAGCCCACATATCCAGCGACTTCCCTCTTTCTTTTTACTCTTCTTTTCGTTCCTTTCCTTCGTCTTCTCGCCGTCTTCCTTTAATAAATTTTCTCCTTCCTCTGCCTCCTGTTCATCTTCTTCTGCTGCTGCATCACAGTGATTTTCATCATTTTCTTCTTCCACTTCTTCTACTTTTTCTTCCGACTTTTTCTCTACTTCTTCCTCATTCTTCACTGAATTCTCGTCTTCTACATGATTCTGATCTTGACCTATGACGTCACTGCTGACCTTCTCTGTCTTGGTATTATCCACCGGCTCTTCCTCAATCAGTTGCTTCTTTTCCTCTTCTTGTCTATCTCTTTCGATTTCATTAGAACCATTTTGGTCTTCTTCTGTTTCGCTATCTTTCGGCTCTTCGTACGTATCACTAGCCCTCTTTGCAGCCGCCGATGTGCCTCCCCCACATCTAAGATATAAAACGCAACAATGAAACTGCTTCTACTTACTTAGCAGTTAGATTCATTTAAACCAAAATGATTATTTCAAGCTTGCCAGCTTCTAGCACTGGTGATTTTTAAAAATATTTCTCGAAACAATTGCCAACCAAATATGGTTAGCGTTGGTATTCCTGGCTCCGTCGTACGTCTACAAGACATTCCTTCAACTAACATCTGTGGAAGTAAAAAATTGCTGTTCCTGCAATTTCTAATATTCTCTTATCAAGCTATTCAACGACTATCTGTATTGTAAAGCATATAATTGCGAAAGATAGTCAGAAACAAAGCAATACGACGACGAGAATCTAATGTAATTTTCAAAAGAAATTAAATTTAAAAAGCTCTTTATAATGTTTTAAGTGTCTTCAAGCGATTTTTGTGGATAATTTCTATTTCCTTTTTATACCTGAAATAACCCCTTAAAAAGTGTTTTGAAAATGAAACTATGTTCTTCAATACTCTTTATCCAATTCATTTTATGCAGTAATGATAATGATTCGTAGAAAGAAACACTTTCTTTATAACATCCAAAGTTCGTAAACTCACATAGCTCTTCACTAGCGTTATCGTTAGTGTGAGAAGTTGATTAAATATATCATATTAATAGTTACAGAAGTAAAGATTAAATTAAGTATATCATATTAGTTTTACAGAAGCATGGATGTCACAGACCTATCTATCTCCAAAGAACTCAATAAGAACAAAGATCTAGCTGTTTTATCCTGACATCCAAAGTTTAGATGGAAACGCCCTGAACGAGAATAATGCTTTTGAGTCCGTATGTATTCTTTGCCATGCTAAATTCTTTATTGACAAAAACACAATTGTTGTGTGCGCAAAAGATGGAAAAGAATCTTTAAAGCTAAGTCTGTGTAAAACAAACGTTGTGTTAATCTTCTTGTACATGCCAAAAGAAAAACTTGTGTTCTTTGATTAAAGAATGCAAAATGAGCTGTTTGAAAAGAGGTATTTGAATGTAGAGTTGTTTGTTTGTGAAGCGAAAAAGGGCATGGCCATGTAAAAGTTCATTAGTAGACATTCTGTAGCTTTTTTATAATCAACGAAAATGATGTTGTCATGAGAGGAATTGGATCTGCAGGACCTCTGTAAAAAACACTCAATCGTTCTTCAGTCACCTTTCAGTTCAGCAATGAGGCGCATGATAGTTTTTCAATTGTAAACATGAAATATGCTAAACCTATTATAATTATGGCTGTAACACGTCAAGTTTAATCTTCCAAAAGCGTCTCTTCTACAGCCAGTCTACACAAATTTGAACAATAGTGATCTACCGAACCTGAAACCAAGTAAAAGGTTTATAGACCTTTTTCTAAGTGGGTTTGATACTCATTCACCCGATTGCAGAGCGAAGTGGAATCATGATCATTTCTTTCGATAAAGTAGCTTGTGGTTTAAAAAACTTATTCACACTAAATTCCAAAACTTGAATTCAAAGCGTGCGCTGTGAAATGCGGCAGCATAAAATAAAGCTTTTGTGACCTGAAAACTATGTCGACGATCTATTAACAACAATATAAAATGTCTTCTCACCTTAGTTTCTTCAGGATGTCTCTCATTTTAAATCCCAAATCAGAGCATTACATTTACACAGATCAATAGTAACCCAAACTTTCCGTCAAGATTACGAGAATCTGTTAGCAGTCCTGCAGCTTGTATTAGTCTTAAGGCGTTCCCCGAATGACTAACGGTTGTTGCATTGCTTAAAACCGGGGGTCCTGTTCATCCGACTTCAGAATAATGATTTCGCTGAAAACCAATATCAAACAAATACAATACTTAGTACAAGTTTTCTGATGATTTCTTTTTATTGCTTAACAATAAGGATTCTAAACATGCGCTCAAAGCCTGTCGCCTTAAATTGAAAACACACATGATGCTCGCGTATTAAGCATTATACTGTATTGCATAAATCAAAAGAAGAAATTCCGACACATGTCTTTGTGTTTGGATTTAAACAATTGATGATTAAAACGCAATTGGATGTTTTAGAAGTGTAATGAAAGATCTAGTGGATCGTATAGATTGTTTTGTACAACATAATGCAAAATGAATGAGTTTTGCAATCAAACATTGCAATTTCCTCAACTTCCAATAGTACACATAATTAATGTATCATGAATAATCAAAATGACGTTGATGCTGTTAAGCTTTATCTCTTTCAAGCAGGTGATCTTTATTTGACATAAGTATATACAAATATCAATAAGAGAGTAGTCAAACAATGTCGAGCCTTCATAATCGCTCAGTATGGCACAAAACAGCACTTGCGTTTCCAATTTTTGAAGATGAAGATTTCACGGATCGTAAATCAGATTGAGCGCTAAATGATACCAGTTGCCATCTCGGTGCCACATTTGAATGTTTCAGAGATGTGTGCTGTCGATGGGATGGGTTTAATCATGAAAATGATGTGCGTGGGTATTTATAGAGTTCCGAAGTGTGACGTCATCAAAGATATATTTTCAGAATTTCTTAATTTTGACCACATAATCTGAAAGAACGAGATAAAATACCTCTCATTGTGCTAAATCAGCTAGATATGTTCAAAATTGGGCGAGATATGGCCAATGAAAGATTTCAAGTTTGCTAACGGATTACTGTTATTCTGGCCTGGTTCAAAAAATTATGAACCAAGACGAAATTACAGAGGTTTGATAGGGCAAGAGCCTGTGCTCATGTTGCCATATCCTAGCCAATTTGTATCACCTTGAACTGGTTTTGCATATTTTGAGGTATTTCATGATGCTCTTTAAGGTTTCGGGATCAAAAGTGAAAAATTCTAAAAATATATTTTTGTTACGTCATCACTTCGGTACTCTATGGAATGTCAAATTGATAAAGACTTGTTGGTTAAGCTAATTGTTGACCCTATTTTGGTCAATACGAATCAATCAAGTGGGATAATTTCCTTTCATTGGTTTGTGACATCAGCAGTTGGGCCTTTTTTACTTCACTTACAATCTTCAATCACCATTAGCCAATGGCATAAAGAGCCTACATATCCTAAACAAATAACATACAAAATAAACAATTTGCTCGTGACCAGTTGGCGATCGATTCTCCTAACTCTTGTTACAGGTACTCCTTTGAAAGACGCCGTTAAGTTCTGACATTTTACTTGTAAAACGCTTTTAAATAGCAAATTTTATTTATCAATTTCAATCACAAATAACGAAGAACTATCTGAGTCCTATCTTGTATTCCAATTTATACTGTTTGTTGCACAAGCCTCTTTCTTAGGGAGATTCTTTTTGAAATACCGATCGCCGGAACTTTGCATACATATTTGTTTAATCAGCGCCATTCTCAGTTAATTACATTAACACGAAAGCTTATGAAATCGGACACAAATTGACAAAAGAATTTGATCCAGTGACATTGTTGAGCATTGTTTGGTATATGTGGTATCACGACCCCCGGTATTGCACGTATGCTCAACACGAGGAACATCTGGTAAATTCTATGCATAAACCTTAAAGAAAACAATACCACGACACGACTGATGTTCACCATTGTAATGATGCAGTGAATAAAACCGTAGAAATATCAAAAGAAACGTCCAAGATTTGCTTTTAAGCCGCTCTGTTCTGAAAACAAAGACCTTGCAAAACTGAGTGTTTTAGCATTCTACCTCGTGAATTATTAATCATTTTCATGGGCCTTTATCGCAATCAGCAAACTACATTGGATTGTTTCTACGCCAGGTTTGATGAAATGAGATTTTTGTTTTGGAAATCCATGTTTAGAATCAGCAGGTTTCAAGATAATTTGACGGAGAAAGGTCGACTCCGTTTTTTCTGCGCACATTATTGGCACAATGTGGTGTCATTGTTACCCAGTGAATGAATACTTTTTGACCGTCAGCCTTTGCATGTGCACATGCCCTAATATAGTGTTATTTTCGCAGTCAAATGTGCCTAATTATAGCCAGTGCAATAAAAGGAATCGCAGCTTTAACCTTGTTTTATTCGATGTGAGTCTGCGAATGTGTTGATGTGAGACCTTTACAGACGCGTTACAAATTGCAGCAACATGCTAAAACACGTTAAACCTCATCCAGAATTCTAACTACCGCCCTGGCGTTTTAATCTTTTATTGCAAAAAGAATAATATATTTTGATGTGAAGGCTGAAAAGTTTTTCGCACTCCAGTAATCTCCCTGAACAACATTTGCTGTTCGATTCTTTATGAGCTAGGACCAATCCAGGGTTGCCCTGCTGCCCACCCTGCCATCTTCCAGGAGGGGCAGAGGGGGCAAGCAGTGCCCTTAAATATTCACCCCGAAGAAAAGATTATAGAATCTTGTAGATAACTAGTTGATGACTGGTTTAGCCACTCTCATGATGTTAATTTTCATTAAAAATTCAAAAAATAGGAAAATATATATTTTTTCTGTCAGTCTTCGACAAGGGAAAATTTTTTGGGCAGAAGACGATATAAACTTCAATGGCATCTTATAGGATACTGACTATTTAGCCCACTGTCAGAACGAGGATGTTACGCTCAATTTACGCCTTAATATAAGAAGCACCCTGAAGTAAACAATTATTTGATTTACAGCCTATTCTTGTGATTATTATTTTCCTTTTTGCATTCTCGATGATTCTGCAACCATGGAATATTGAGACTAAGCGAATAATCAAAATGTTACAGCCAGCCTATGTATGATTTTCATAAAACCTAAAATTTCGAATAATGGAAAGCCCATTTAAACCCACTACCATGGAGAATATTGTCAACATTATGCCTATGCTTGGAGGCTTTGATTGAATTATTTGATTGAATCCCAGCTGTATGGGTGGAACAGATCAATGCCAATATTTTATTTAGCACCCCCCCCCCCCATCCCTCACAAAACATCGATTATTGTAGTGGAAAAACTTCTACTATTTGTGCTCAGCACCAACACTGCCCCCTGCCTTAACCCTGTGCAAGCGTCCCTGGACCCCCCCCTGGACCAATCCTCTTCCAAACTATCATTCCAGTCTGTGACGTAGTCCAAAGCATTTTAAAACATCTTATCATCTTCACCATCTTGACGTGGCCTCATTGCCAATAAGACATCAAAGTGGGGTCAAAAGATAATTGGCGCGAAGCATGTTTTTGTTCGGACAGCACTAAGCACTGATCTAAAAAAGTCTTCACTGTTGGAGGAAATATGCCAAGAAATATAGATCTAATTTGCTTTGGAGATTGCAGGTTTGAAGATGCTGTTCTGGGAGTAGAAGAAAGCCTAATGAGCATTTTGCCTTTCGGCTGTGTAACTGACGAAGAGAAAGAAGCTCTGTCCCTCCATGCTCTGAAGCAGATTCTGGTAAACGCAGAAAACCATAAGGGACTCAATTTGGAAAATTATGAATCAAGCCAGTGTCTTGAAAACTGGATGCTCCCCTCACAGCATACAATTTTTTTACAGTCTAATGTTGGAGTATTTTGCGATCAAAAAGCTGGTATTGATGTTTGGTTAGAGATTATTTCAAAATTTAAATGTGAAGCACAGTTCATGTCATTGCTAATCGAAGATGGCGAAATCATCAACTCTATTGTAGCTGAAGTATTAAATTCGCTAAAAAGATGGAACGATACAGAAAAGGCTGGCAGATTTCTTGTCAGTGGTTTGAAATTTCTTCTTAGTACTAGCAATTATGTATCCATTTCTTTTGAAGCAGTTGACAGCATTCAAAGACAATTATTCAATGTATTGGAAGATGTCTTGATGAAAACCTCATGCAAAAATACAATGCTATTTTCATTTGAAATAATGAACATTTACTTCATTGAGTTTACCAAATGTTTTCTTGTGATAAAGGAAACAAGAAATAAAGACCTACATGGCAATTTTCCACTGATGATTCACAGTGCATTTGAAAATATTATTAGCAGAGAGGCAAATTTTGTCAAAATGGATGGTTTGAGTCGTGAATTTCCTGTAAAGCTGAAGAAAATATTCTCAGAAAAACTGCACCGAGTGTCAGAAAACAAGGAATCACAAACAGTCAAAGAACTTTTATTAAATAAAAACATGCTAGACTCAAAGTTCTTGGACTGTTGGGAAAGATTTGATGTATTGTGTTATGGTATTGAAGAAATAAATAAGATTCATGGTATTGTTTGCAAAAGTTTGAACATGTCTGAAATAGAAATTGATGCAACATTTCCATCAGATGATTGGCTATCAGTTGTTGAAATAGTAAAGAAACTAAAAGATAATGCCAAAAGGGAGGATATGATATTGTCAAGTTCTATGAAGATGAGTAAAGAGTGGGAAGCACAATCATTTTTAGAACTGCTGAAGGGCTGGGAGATCTCTGCTGTGTCGTGTTTACAGCAATATCCAGCCTTGGCTTCTCTTTACAATCCTTTAATAGTAACTGAGAAGTTTTTGATTGGTTGGTTCAAATATCTCCAAGGATGTAATTTGCATTCAGCTGCTGATGTCGAAAGCGAACAGAAATTGGACAAATTGTCCAAGATATCCTGTGAGATGATTAAAGGAATTGATATAAAAGTTGCACAAAAAGTCATGATTGCCTGTGCTGACATATTTCAGAATGAAAGCTATAATTTGCTACATGGAGAATTTGCTTATCAGAATTTTAAAAGCCAGTTAAATTTTGGAATAAATAAACTCTCATTTGACAAGTCAGAAAAAGTATTTGATCACCTTTCACAGTTGACATTAATCCACCCATATGAGGTATTATATGAACTTGTGATAAGAGGTGTCACCTCAACACCAATGGCAATAGTTATTCTTCAGTTTTTGAAGGAATTAAGTGCCTTGCTATTGTTAAAGAAGGATGGAAATCATACAAATCAGGTTATTTGTATCCTACAACAGTTTTGGAAAGAGCTGAAAAAAGATAATTTTGAGACTGTGTGCGTATTTATAGATGGGCTTCTGAGGATAAAATATGAGGAATCTTGCAATCATGAATGGAACCTTATAAGTCCGTTGGATATCATTGATGATATTTTGCTTCCAGAGTTAGAAAAACACAGAGCTGGATTGACAAGTGATGTTTCCTTGTCTCTGATTATGCAGATCATGCAAGCAACAATAAACTTTGTAGCCTTCTACAAAGCTAGTGATAATTCAAATGGAATTGTCAAAGGCTTTTTGCAGTGTGTTTTTGATGTGATCCAAATCAAGGAAACATTTGAACGCAAGGCTGATAATGACTTGGAGGCATTGTTTCAGTTAGCAAACAGAATAGAGCAACTGCACCTAACATTAATTTTGACTCTAAAACAACTGAAGCCTCTCTTGCTCAATAGTCAAGAATGCCTTGGTATGATAACAAGTGAGCTACCTGGTCTTTGTTGGCTGTCCCAATTTTATTTTGCAGATATTTTTTTGAATGGTGAGACTCAAGCGTCACTGTCTCTTCCACATTCATTGTTATATTTTTCAGACAGTTTCATGAACTTAAACTTTGAAGAAGAGATGACTGCAGCAGTTGAAAGTTCTTCAAATAATGCATGGCTTTTGATTATGAAGTTGTGTCAGATTAACACTGACACCAGTTACCACTTTCTCCATAAACTTACTTGTCATGAAAAGCCAATCACCATGAAGATTTTAACAGCCCTTGCGGTAACAATGATTGAATCAACCAAATCTGGTTGGCAATGTAGCTTAGATTTAGTTGATAAGTACGTAGAAGCACAGGAAGAATATTTCCTCGCCAATCTTGGGCTTGCAGAGCTAAGTGGAATGGATGGATTAATTAGGCAGCTTGCTTGTAAAGTTTCTTTGATTTCACATGCATTTCTCATAATCAGTAGAAAATTTGGAGAGTCCAATGATTGTTTAGTCGCGGATGTGATTCAGAAGTTGCACATAGCTTTTGTGGGTGAGGTCAGCAAGATGCAGACTATGGGTACAAAGGATTCTGTGATGTGCCTTGCGGTTATATACAACTCATTATCAAAAGTCTGTGGAAAGTCACCATTTTTTGCAAAATTCTTTTCAGGATTACTGCTTCAAATTCTAGAAACAATTAATCAGAAATTGGTCTCAGAAAGTGTAGAAAGTGAGGTCGTTTTCTGGAAGAATAAACTTGAACACTTGAAACGATCATTGACTAACTCGTAGTTTTTGATACAAAAACATTTTGCAGAAAAGTCCATCTCCCAAGTTATCCTCTGAACGGATGTATTTGTATTAGAAATGTCCACAAGATGTATGGTAAGCTAGATGTTTTCGTGTTTAAGTTTTAGTTGCCTAGATGTTTTTGTGTTGAAGATATCTAGTCATTAAAAAAACCTGTTGCTGCAGACAAGCTGCTGTCTCCAAAAGACCTTTTTTGTCTCCAATACTGTTTGCAGTTTCGTTCAGGGCATATCCATACTTTGCTGTAAAATTGCAAATGAGGGGGGGGGGTCTAACTCAAAGAGTACATACATATTAGTGGTGGGGGGTTTCCATGTATGACTGCATACAAGAGGGAGGGAGAGTTGAGAACATCAAAAATTTTGCAAATGTAAAATGTGAAAGACTCCCTGCATTGAAATTCAAATTCAAGTCTGAATTAAATGCCATCAGTTTTAGCAGCAATTTAAAAACTTACTCAAATATTTGCCTTAAAAAATTTGACTTGTACAATGAAAATAGATAGCACTTATATATACCAGATAGACAGAGAGCATTTTTGTATTAGTTATAAATTTCTAACTTATGAAAGTCTGTCCATGAGTTTGTTTCACATTCTCATTTATGTCAACAGTATACAAAAACAACCCTCTCCTCATTTCGGGCTATAAGCTTTAAAACTTTTTATGTTTTAATATAATGTACCCTTTTTATCAAAAATTGTTTAGTTACTTCCACAGACTAAATCTGTACTCTTAATTATCCATGGAATAAATCTATAGATTTACGGAAAGCTGCCTAGTTTGAGAAAAGTTGTTTTGGTGCCACATTTGGAATGAACAGGCACTTATAGAACTCCAGAGAACAAAAATACACACATCTTGGTCTTTACAATGTCATAATTATACAATTACTTTTTGCCACCTTGTTGTGCTTTAAGTACACGTACAACAATTTTCTGTTCTTCAATGAGAAAAGCACGGACAATCCTAAAATAAAAAAGCAAACATTAGAATAATTTCAAGAGAAGAAAGTGATGACCCTGATTCAACATGTCAAAAAACATTATGAGATATGTATATGATTTGTCAACAATGATTTTCAGTCAAAATTGCCAAGGTGGCAAAAGCAAAACTGTGTAGATGAAAGAGACTTGGCAAAAGCTTTCATAAGTGGCCCAACTTCATGTTATCATTGACATACAAATCAGTTATTTTGATGTTTTATACACAAAGTTGTTTTTTAGAGCTGCCTCCTTTATCGGAAAACAGAATTTAGTTGAAGTTCTTAAACAAGCTGAACAATACTGGCAACATGAAACATGTGCTATAAAAAAGACAGAAACATTGGCACAAAAGGTTAGGCTAATATTTACCTTTCTCTGACACATTTTGCACATCGTGAGCCTCCATATGCTCGGGTGATGTTCTTCTTTGGCTTAGACAAAGCTTTTAATTCAGTTGGACGAACGGCTGGAAGCTACATAAAAAAGGAAACAAAAATGTTCTAATTATTGCCATCAAAATGCGGAAAACAACACAAAAATAGACTGCATTGTGATAAAACTGCACAAGTAAGAAACAACCTTACTTAAAAGCAGCTTAATTTTCATCATGGTTAACTAGAATGCAGATTTATTAACATATATAAAGTATATGCAAGTGAAGGAAGAGAAAAATGCACTTTAGACTTCTCAACCCGAGAATGACATGGTAATTTTCCATATCAGCATACCAATTATTTCAGTATCTATTGCTTCTAAAGACTTGCAGATTTCCACTCTTTCATCCTTTCAATTTCTGAAGCTGATGTTTTTCATGCTAGGAAGCTGACTTTTACGACTTTTTCATGAAGATTCAGGATGTTCTTTTCTTCCATTCCAAAAAATTATCAGTGTGATAACAGTTTTTTCTTTCAAAATTGTTTCAAGATATATCTTTCCTTTTCTTTCATGGTGTTTGGCAGCTTTATTTTAACCCTTTTATGTGATAACTGAGAGAAAAGGCTTAATTTAATGGGGCTTGACTTTGTGCAGCATATAAACAAACACCCTATTTCATGTAAGAGGAACATTGAAGTAAGTTTTTATTCAATTTGTTATTGTTAATAAGATAGCTGGTATGTAAAGCTAATAGTGTTGTGTTAGTGGAATTTTAAATAAATTAACTGAACTGAGTTTAAAACAGACTCTACTATTGAAATTATAAAAACCTGTCACTGGGAATTTTTCATTGCAACTTTGAATTTGATTAAAATCTTTGTATTTTGGAAATAAATTTGAATAAAACTGAATTGGCACACATTCATATTAGTAAAATTTCATAACTTGATGCATACCCCACGAAGCTTTAACTTGCAGTCACCGCATTTTGGCACACTTCCTACTTTCTTTGTGTAAAGATAAACCAATTTTCCACCTGGGAAAAATTCAACAATGTTAGATGCCAAACAAAAACTTATACATAGATTAGCAATGAATTGATGCTCTAGATTACTCATAATACATATTTATATATAATTAAATTGGTGATAAAGTCATTTGTTTCCGTAAATATTTACAGAAAGCTTCTTTTTTGAGTTCATACATCCAATTCAAACAAGCAAAACAAAATGAAAGCTTGACAAGTTTTCAAAGGATTAACATTAGCTGCTGACAAATGTCAGTCTGCAGGTATGACAGATGCATGACAAGATCAATGTAGTGCTCAATGCCAAAATTCCTCAATTGCCCATAATAGTTATATTAAAAAAACTTCCTTTTGCATGCCATTTAAATAGTAATAGGAGATTTTCATGTGGATCTATTTGAAATGACTATGCATGCACAATATCTTGTTGAGAATCATTCTGGAACACAGGTACACACAAAATCAACTGCAGTGGCTGAAGTCCTGTTCCAAAATGGGGTCCTATCAGCACTGTATAAAACAAATAATATATGATAAAAATATTGATAATAACAAACCTGGAGTCTTTGATCTTTAGATGAAACAGCACATGGAAAGCAAGTAATACTTATAATCATAATTCATAAAGGAAAACATGGACTTGTGGAGTTACTAAGGAAATTCTTTATGGGTCGACTGAGGTAATGAGTTTGATGTGATTAAGCTAAATATGAAATAGGAGATATATACATGTTGTTTTAACATTCAAATGCTAGCCATTTGCAGTACATTGCATTTCTTTCGAGCAATATGCTGAAATCATATCTAGCTCGTCAGTAAAAATACACGAGGAATTACGGTTGACAAAGATACAACCAGAAAGAATACAGATTAAGGCATTAATAAGACGGTGTTAGCTATAATCATATAGAGCTATAAGAACTGTCGAGCATAATTGATAAAAAGAAGGTAAACAATTTATCGACTCACATTCTTCTCCTGTTCGACTTGGTGTTGTAGGAAAGGCGACGACGAAGTACTAAGCGTTTTGATCCCATCTATAAATACATAAATTTTTTTAAAAATAATCAACAAATACCAAAAACGACTCAAAATGCTATCATAGCTTGAGATGTAAAGGTTTTTAGAAGATGTTATGAGTTTTCGAAATTCTTACTTCTTCGCCGTTTAGGACAAATTTAGAAAAGGACTTTTCGTTTTGAAGCGAGACTGGCATACATTTCAAGGACGAGACTGGCCTCGAATAGGATTCCCACGCTAACTGGCCTAACTCACGTGGGACTTAAAACATGCATTGGTTTCACAGAATCGTGTTACAATAAAACGTTCTAAAAAACACCAACAAGGCCAAGCTTCATTGTTTTTGTATATTTATGAATATAATGTCAAGAAGGGAGGTTTGATGCCGCTTTATAAAGATATACCAGTCTATACCAGTCTATACCAGTCTTGCGTAAAGGCTATACCAGTCTCGTAATAACAACTGGATATATTGTTTGAGTTAGAAATCATGGATTTGATGTTTACATGAAGTTTTAACTCGTTTTAAATCCAACAAGCTCAGAACAATAGGGGATACATTGGTACACGATGAGTGCCATGGAAGATGAAAGCGTCGGCGCTGGAGCTAATTCCTCAAATATTATAAATGGAAATGGTTTAACGATGAGTGCAATGGAAGATGAAAGCGCCAGCGCTGGAGCTAATTCCTCAAATATTGTAAATGGAAATGGTGTAATGGAGTTAAATGACGACGAAGGCACAAACGTTCCATGTTCAAACGCTGATGAATCACCAAGCGAACGGACATATGAAATGTTAGAATCAACTGAACGGACATATGAAATGTTAGAATCAACTGATAACATCAATAGTGACATATGTGAAAGTACAATGCCTGAATATTTTGATGATCCTCATCTAAATGAGAAAAGTAACCTACCCCAAGTCCAAGAATCTGTGGCAGTGTTGGCTAAGAACGATATCGAAAAGGAAAGCGATTTAGACTCAACTGAAAACAATAATGATGATGATAATGAGGAAGAATTCTGTGACATGTCTGATCTTGCATTCATCACCAAAATTGTCTTGAAGAATCAATCATTTGAACCCTCAAAAAATCAAAGAAGGGTTTCACCTTTTTCTAGTGATGATGAATGTGATAATGGTAATGATGTTGTGTCCAGAGCAAGTCAGTTATTAGGAAGAAGACTTGTTTCTTATGACAGTGACACAGGTGAATCAGAAGAAAGCTGTGACTCTGAATCCTCATCATCCTCATCCTCAACAACATCATCCTCTGAAAGGTCAGTTACTAGAAATCCCTATTTAACAAACAGGGGTGACTGGGTGGAGAAAAATATTGACTTCAACCTGCTGCATAAGAATTCACATTGGAAAACTATTTAACAGGGTTGGAGGTTACATTGTTTTGATTAAGCAAAAAGACCTTTCAGATCAAAATTTATTCTAAGGCACTGGCCCCATAGATGCTGATTTCCCTTTCGTTTTAAATTTGAAATTTGGTCACTGGTGTAACTTATCCAGTTAGTTTTGGGTGAATGATGTCTCCTACTAAGTATACATGGATGATGGCTATGGCAAAATATGGGATCAAATTGATCTTTTTATACAGTGGTTTTGTATATGGTACTTGAGCCCTAAGGTATTAACCCATTGATTCTAGTAACACGAGGCTTTTGCCTGTGAATGAGAGCTTCTACTACAATACACCAAAAGGTTAACCAATAGAGATGTGCAGCGCAAGCTCAAGATATATCTGATTAGAGTAAGAATTTGAAACATTGTTTGAGTAGATCAGCAACCTAACATGTTGAATCACAATTTCATAAACAATTTATACAACCAACTGTATGACTTTAAAATCGAACTGTTCCAAACCAGTATGGCTCTATGGTCATATCAGTCCAGACAACATGACAACATTTAGTCATTTCAGGCTAGGAAGTCCCTGTCAGTCTGGGCAAGAAAAAAAGTGCCAGCTGTTTTTTTTGTTTTTACTTTGATTTGATTGGGTTCAAGAGAGTAACTTAAGCTGATTATTTTCTTTGAGACTTTTAGGTTTCTCTTGTAAGGGAAAAGTGAAAAGTTTAATGTCAAAAAACCTTTAATCTAGTGGTATTCTTTCATGGAATATGCAGTTTGAATAGCTTGTCATATAGTCAAGGCAAAATCATATGGATTTGACAGCAAAGAATGATAGGTTTGATTACAATAAACAGTTTTTATTAGGCATTGATAGTTCAAGCTGAGGTTCTATCCACTATCTCTTTGGCAGACAGTGATCCTCAAGTTTTTAGAAATGAGAACTAAAACCTTCCTGCTGTTCAGTCCTTCTTCCACCATTGCACAACAAAGAAAACTTGAGCCTCAAAGGTTTGCAACAGACAAAGAAATTGTTGGGCCACGGTATTAGTTTTAGGAGGCTAATACCAGGGCTAGGATTTTTGAATAAAGCATGGATTAAACAATGACACATTTTGAAGATTTCAGCGGGGATTACAAAAGCTTTCATTTATTAAACAGAAAAACAAATATAGTTGATTTTTCACCAATATAGCTGATTATCTTTGAATAATGGAAAAATTGTTGCGAAAAAGTGGCAGCAAAAGAAGCATGAAAGTTTCCTGCTTAATGGAAATGGTATTTAGTTAATACATTTTATATCACCCCACTGTTAACACATCTGCCCTTTTTTTGCCCATCTAATTCAGAGCCTATTTTTAGCCCAACTAAGTGAAATAAACACCCTTTTCAGTGCCCTATCTTTTTGACATTCCAGGGATTAAGGGGATGTTATTAAATAATATTATTTCTTTTAATTTGCCTTTAATTAGGTAAATTATTTCATTTTATTGTCATTATCTTCATTTTCAATATTTTGCAATTATATGAAAAGTGACGATGAAGACAAACCTAACCTTCGTAAGATTATTATGGATGCTGAAAATGAAGAGGATGAAGTAAACCATGCTACTTTACCAAAGACAAAAGATGAAATACTGCCTCAGGTAATCTTTAAACTTGTAAATGCCATCATTGGCTTGTCTCAGTCTTCAATAATTATGTTTATATCTCTGTTTTCTTTATAGATAAAGAAACCTCTATCCACATAACCCTTTTCATTATTTTGTTGTTGTTTTATATAGATTGTAAATTTTAATAGAAATTTTTACGTGTTTATTATGGATACTTTTCTAGGAACTTCCAGTGGAACCTGATATTCAAGATGAGCTTCCCAAGGATGCAAGATTAGAGCAAATTGGGGAAATACAGAGCTTTGTTGAACTAATGGGTAAGATAAATTTTGTTGTTTTTTGTTTTATTTCCAGTAGCAGATCCTTTCCAACTTTCAAGATCTTAAGAATCCTGATACAGTTATGTGATATCCAGGAACCAAAGTTTTGCCTGTGATTTTAGAGAGGCCTCTTTATTAAAAGGGTCTGTTTCTATGAGCAAATTTATCCCACATTTCAGCCTATAAGCTGGCAGGTGGGATTAAATCATCGTATGTTTACATGCAAGTACTGTCCCACCTCCAAGCTTACAGCTTCTTTTTTATCCCACCTCTCAGTTTTCCCAGATATGGCAATGCATCATGTTTTGCTATGGTGCAAACACATGCTCGTAGATGAAAATTTCATCCAACCCATGTAAATAGTTTTGTGTTTACATGGGAAAATACCACCTCTAAAAGGCTAGAGGGAGAAATTACAAATCTTTGTAAAGGAAGGTAGAGATCTCATGGGCTAAAAGGTGGGATAAATTTGCTGATAAAAAAGGACATTATCAGTTTATAGTACTTCAAATTGCATGTGGACACGTAGTTGCAGAAAGCTCTTCAATTTGGTTTTTTGCCAACTCGAAGCTCTCTTGAATGGAACTTTTTACTCCTTCTAAGAAAGAAACTCTTTCTAGAGATGTTTCTTGGTTTTCCTGAAAGGGAATAACCTATCGTGACTGTTTAGGTCAATTGTTTATGATACCAAAAAAGCAAACCCCCTTGTAATCCATTCGATTAACCCATAGGCCACCAGTCCTTACTTTTTTCTATGTCTGTAATGCTAGTGCTTGTATTCTACCAAGAGAGCTTGGTTCCCTCACCAAGCAATTTGGGGGCTGAATTTCAAATATCTTATAGAAAGGGCATAAAAGCTAATTTTATAAGTGATTGTAGTTTTTTACCAGGGTGTACAGGAATTTACAAATCTTGGCATTTGGCACCTGTTTTCTAGACATTTTGTTGATTTTCTTTATAATGTATCAACTGTCATGTAAGCCATACAAACCTCAAAGGCTGATATTGTTTATCGTTGTAACACCAAACTATAAAATGTTATATATCATGTAAATAAACATTGTAAGAAACAGTTGTCCTACTCTGAATATAAGTTGCTTATCCCAATAAGCTGTTTTGCTAATTTTGGGAACCCAATTATTTTCTCAAGTTTGTTAACCAGATAATCAATCTGATCTTGAATTTTTTCTTTGTTGCACTTCTTAGTTGTCATCAAAGGAGTCATAGATGGTCCAGCTTTAGATGTAGGTACAGTATGTTTCAAAGAGGATCGAAAGCCATTTGGAAAGGTGAGGGAGCTTGTAGAAAAAGCAAAAGATATATTCTAACTTACAGCATGCTCTGATATTGGAAATTATCTGTTAACAGGATGTATTTGATACCTCACTATGATTTGTTATATCGAATTTAGTCATTCCTTACATTCTTATGGAATTTTAAAGTTTATGAAATTTCATTTTCAAGCTTTTGGTGTAGAGAACAGGACGATTCTAACCTGCTACCCTGAGTTTCACACTGAATGTGATCATCGAGAACAGTTTTTTGTTTGAAAGAATACAAAAAAGACAAGCATAACTTATCAGAAAACTAGGAAATACCAACAGTGGATCTGGCTACTGAATTTTGTTTTCACATAATAACGCTTAAAGCCTTCCCTTTTGTAATTCTTTTATTTTCTGCCAATCTTCAAAAGCATGCAAAAATTTGCTCTACGCTAACACCTGTTTTTATGAGTTCACATGATTTAATTTTCAATTTTTTTTAGGTTTTTGACATCTTTGGTCCAGTCAAATGTCCATTCTATACTGTCAGACTTTCCAGTGAAGAAAAATTTGCCAGTCTTGGTCTTGCTGTTGGTGAAACTGTGTATTTCGCACCAAATTACCTAACTTGTACCAATTATGTCTTCGTGGAGCAACTTAAGAAGTACTTTTTCCTTTGTCATACAATAAATTTCATTGTTAAACCTGTTGCTTAGAACTTAATCAATAAACTGGCATTACATTTACCTCAATCAGTGTCCAAATCTTTGCTATTTCAATAGAAAATCCCCAAATATATAGGGGCGTCATAAAAGGGGTGTTATCTAACTTGTACCAATTATGTCTTCGTGGAGCAACTTAAGAAGTACTTTTTCCTTTGTCATACAGTAAATTTCATTGTTAAACCTGTTGCTTAGAACTTAATCAATAAACTGGCAGTACATTTTCCTCAATCAGTGTCCAAATCTTTGCTATTTCAATAGAAAAACCCCAAATATATAGGGGCGTCGCAAAAGGGGTATTGTCTATTTATCTTCTGCCCCCCCTTAAGATTGAGGCATGCCCTTTTTGTTGGCAAAAATCATTTCTTTACCCCTCCGAAAATCTTTTTGGCTTGCCCCTGAGTGTCTAATGCACGATGTTTACTCAGACAACAGGGATTATGGTTAGTGTATTCCATATTAAATGTGCTTTTCATAAGGCAATATTTGTGCAAAATTGTCAATATTCAAGAGACATCTTCATCAGTGTTGAACTTTCAGTGTACAGTGGAATTTGATCAACTATTTATAAACTCATTTCTGAAAGTTCCTAATCACATCATATTGTTCGTAGAATGAAAGGCTCTGATGCATCATGGCAGTTTGACCAAGAACCACCTCCAGAGGCAGGTTTTTTCTTTATCTTAACCCTTCCAAAGTCAAAATTACTTTAGACATGAATTCAGGTATCGAGTATCTGTACACGTTTGCCTTGAATGTTAAATTTTGTAAGCATTCAAACCTACCCTATAAAGGTGCAAGGGTGGCCCAGTTGTTAGAGGCGCTGACTACAGACCCAAGGGTCCGTGGTTCGAGTCCCTGGCACGACAAAACTCTCACTCAGAGTGAAGAGAATCGTCAACTCTCTCTAATTCAAGGCGTAGGGATCACGAGTATGAGTCACATCGAGAGGAAGGACCTGGACACTGCTCGATAAACATAGAATCTCAGTGTCCTAAAACACTGCCTTCGGAGGCTAGGTAACAAGTTACATACCTACCCTTCACAGGAGAAAAGCGATTTATGTCGGCCTGGGGATTTAAGCGTAAAGATACCCCCAGAGAGAACAGCTCTCTTTTTCTTTACCGTTCTTTTCGGCACCCTATGTTTTGTGACATTTTGACCGTTTTACGTTGTTTCATTCTTCAGTGCATAGATTATTCTGACGACGAGCAAGAGGCCAAAGCAAAATCAGCAGCTAGGAGAAAAAGAAAAGAAAGGTGAGCTCCTTTTAATGTTATGACTGTATTTTGTGGTTTATCAGTAAATATGGTAGAATACAATGGCATCTTCTTAATAAAGAAAATCGATGGGCAAATATCCCAGCTTCTTGAAATAATTTCGTTCCTCTTGAATTTGCATATACACACATTAGACAATGAGATTAACAATAATGATGAAAACAAACGCTAAAAAATGCGAGGACAAGCTTTAAAATAATTGCAGCAAATAGGTTTTTTTGCTCAGGATACCTGGAAAGTTATCATTAGCGAGGTAGGTGCCCTGTAATTAGTTTCTCGGTTATCTGAAATATCTGTAGGCCGTAAAGTCATAGGTTAGAGAGGTCAGAGGTCAGAGATCATGGTCATAGGTTATTTACTAGGCAGCTTTTTGTGGGTTTAGCGTCCAGTTTAAGAAATTTCTGGGCGTCTTTTTTGTTGTTTAATACATTTTTGATTTTATTTTCTTAGTGTGATAACTCATCCTGCTATTCTTTTAGAAAAACAAGAACAGAAGATGGCGACAATCAAGCGGATGGCGAAGATATTAATATGGAGAAAAGTCACGCAAATGCAAACGGAAAAGTTCGAGGTTAGTTGATTGATTTCAAAGGCACGGGCAAGGATACATCTTTTATACTGTATAGTACTGAGATATCAGATGAGAACTTTACGACAAAATTATATTTGCTTTCAGGGAAATTCAGCGACTCGGGAAAAGAAAGTTATCGACAGACACCAGTGAAAAATGAATTTCAAGTTGGAAATGCTAGAAGTAGCAACACTGGTATTTCATCCCATGGCTTCCATGAAACAGCTACGTCTTTTCAAAATGAACCTGCCATTAGCCCAGTTGGTATTCGAGGGCACTTTACAAGACCGCCCTTTCCTGCTGGGAGCTTTCAAAGACCTGGCAACCAAGGGGGCTTGCCTCCAGTCAATGGTATGCCAAGAGAAGCGATGCCAGGACTGACCAATCAGGGAGCGGGGTTTCCACGGACAAGGTTCCAGGGTCATATACAAGGACAAGCACCTTTTGGAACATGGTCTCCTAGAGGCTGGGTCCCTTCGGGTGAATTCCAAAGGCCACCACCAGCCCATCCTGACATTAGACCTCATTCGATGAGACCTTGCAGTACATTTCAAAATGGCTCCATCCGGCAAGGTTTCCGGTTCCCTCCCTCAATGCCCCCTTTTGATCCAAATGTTCCACCGCCAATGTTTCATCACGCAATGCCACCCTCTAGTATTGCTGCAGACTCATTTCCACCAAGACCCCCAAGAAATATCTTGCCAGATCCACGTTTTGCTCCTGGATTTCCTCCATCAGGTTTTTTCCCAAACAATCCACACTCACAATGGAACACACCGAAGTGACATTTGACATTTTCTTTATGTACATAATAAACGATTATTTCTTGAACAATCCGTCGTTGAAGTTTCGTTTAATTTCATATTATTTGTACAGGAAAATATTTCAACCAAAAAAATTAAAGCAAGAAGCTCCTATAAGATGCCTTCTGAAAAAGTTTCGGCACCTAAACTTGACCACAACTTTTAGGCTGCGCGTTTGTTGGCTTAATATTTTTATTATGTCGCATTTTTATTCAAAGAAGCTGAGCATAGATTTGATATTATACTCTGTACATAAGGAAATCCGTCACCTTTGTCCAAATTATAGTTTGCACTGCTTTTATTGGCAGCCAGTTGGCATTTGCCACTTAGTTTTCGACACTTAAGTGACACTTAAGTTTTCCATGTCGTTTGGTTTAGTTTATATTGAGTAAAACCTTAACTGTTTGCCTAAGGTAGGACACAAAGCTGAGCAAGTAAAAATATTTTACCCCCCCCCCCCCCGAAAAAAAAATAATTGGGAAATAATATTCTTTTTTCCTAAAACAATAGTAAAATGTATTTGTATTTGTATTTGTTGCTACCTAGCCTCCGAAGTAGGGGTGTACCGGATCAGGATTTTCAGAATCCGGCCGGAACCGGATTTACCGGATTTCTTCGTGGAATATCCGGCCGGATTCTACCGGATAATCTGACCATTTATAGAATTTTCAGTAATAAAATGTTTTGAGCCACTTTGTGAAAAAATGTATAGCGAGAAGATCAAAGAGACCTATTCAGGGTTGCCAGATTGAATTTACAAACGAAGCCTAGACTGGTGAGCAATTTAAGCCAAAATGCTCATAAAAAGGCCAAATCAAAAACTCTCTCAAGAATCCATCGAGCAGGCACTTGTTATATTTCTACGCTTGTGCCTGTTAGATAATTTCTTAGCTTTGATAAGAATCTTACTTTTTTCCAAAACCCTTTGCTAATATCAAGGTAATATTTAGGTTAAGTGATAAAATTTGAAATTTGGTTAACACTTTGTAGTTAACTACTAATTATTCCATGAATGTAGTAATTACTTATTAATTTTAGATGTTCTGCTGAAAAGGCCAACAAGGTCAAATTTAAGTAGTAAGCAAAAAACAATTTTTCCAGGCAATCTAAATCTAAAAACCAAAAATGAAAAATTTGGCCTAAAAAGCCGATCTGGCAACCCTGGACCAAATTTGTGAATTATATCATCCAGTTATCCTGTTTCTTGAGACAGCACTTTCATTTCAAATCTGTTTTCAAGGCGCTTGTTTTATCGTCGATATTGTTTAGTTCTGGAAAATCCATTTTTAATCACTGTATGAAGGGAGTCTGACTTGGTTTTCCAAATTTTCTTAGTTATGATTAAAGTTCTGGAAAATCCGGCAACTGGCCGGATTTCGAAAACAAATCCGGCCGGAACCGGATTTTCAAAAAATCAGCGATCCGGCGCCGGATTATCCGGCCTACCGGATATCCGGTACATCCCTACTCCGAAGGTAGTTTTTAGGACACTGAGAAGCTATGCTTAACGAGCAGTGTCCTGGTCCTTCCTCTCGATGTGACCGCTCCTCGTGATTCCTATGCCTCGAATTACAGAGAGCTGGCGACTCTCCCCATTCTGGATGAAAGTGTCGTCATGCCAGGGACTCGAACCACGGACCCTTGGGTCTGTAATCAGCGCCTCTAACAACTGAGACATCCTCGCACCTGAAATCTGAAATGTGACGTCATCTTTTGAAAACAATAGGCTTGCCCCCAACCTTTTCATTATCATGCTGTGAAACCCAAAGGGGCGCACAAAATGTATGCTACCACCCTGGGATGTGAGTCGGATGTACAAAACACTTTGGATATGTGGAGACGGCATAAAAATCAATTTGGAGAATTATTTGTTTTGGCAACATGGTCTAGAGGAACACTATAAAATGTTTCTAGGAAATCAGTTGAATATGTTACAGATTTTGTGAGACATGGCTACATGAGCACTGGCAGAACATGTAACCGATTTGATTGATTTTTCATGTTAGAGTTATTGCCTGGTGTTTTTCGGAAATTATAGTCACCATTCTAAGTTCTAGAAATGCATCTCAATACCATAATCACTTCCCATTCTAGAACCCTCGCATATTAGCTGTTTTCCATGGAAAGAAAACTAATATGGCGCTTTGTTTGATTTTGTGATTCGCCACTGTCAGAGCTGTACATTAAAACGTTTAGAATATCATTGAGACTTTACTCCTCAAGGTCATTGCAAAATGTTGTCGATAAATTTTTACCTTCCACCTGTAAAAGTTCACCTTTTTTCAAAGTTCTTCATTATCATTCCCACTTATTTTAGTAGGACAGCCTTCATCCTGATGAAGAGAGATAATCGTTTCTTGGTCTTCATTTGTGATTTTATAAAGAAAAATTAACTAAACTTGAAAATGAGAGACAGTGTTTCTCAGACAAATAAAATTAGCCCTCCTTTGTTTATAAGCCGCAGTTGAAACTGAGGTTAAAAAATAGTCGATAAGATTTTTGTTGGCTGCGGCTACATTTGACCTAACATTATGTATACGTTTTTATGCAAGCTATCAAAACTTTTACCTAGGTTGAATTTTCAATTTTTTGGTTACTACGAGTTTTACTTCATTCTAATTTTTCTTCGTTTCTATTCGATCGAATGTTGCAAATAATATTTTGTATTTGTATTTGTTGCTACCTAGCATCCGAAGGTAGTTTTTTTAGGACACTGAGAAGCTATGTATATCGAGCAGTGTCCTGGTCCTTCCTCTCGATGTGACCACACCTCGTGATTCCTACGCCTGGAATTACAGAGAGCTGGCGACTCTCCCCACTCTGGGTGAAGGTTTGGTCATGCCAGGGACTCGAACCACAGACCCTTGGGTCTGTAGTCAGCGCCTCTAACAACTGAGCCATCCTCACAAATAATATGAAAAATTGAAAAATTATCCAAGTGCTCCTGTTTTAAATACGATAAGTTTAAAAATGGAATAGAAGCTATGAAATGATAAACAATGTTGGATTTTTAGGATCCTTTTCTTTTCAGAATTCTAAAACGTCTGTAGATGTATGGAAATGGCTGTTTGTAAGGCGTCGTCTTGAGATGTTTTGAGATGATATTACATTGTAGATAGCAAACCATAATGAAATTTGTAATTAGAAGCCACTTTTGTTACAAAGTCAACTTGTATCTTAAACTGAATAAAAACAACTCTCCGTTCATCTTTGAAGTTAACAGATTATGGTGATCAATAGCAAAAAAATATTTTCGTGTAGAAAATTTTTGCAGATATTTGACAACTAAATGTATGCAATTATTCTTTACTTTCATGTATACTTTTCAAGCTTGAAATGTTAAATATATTTTTCAAATTCATTAAGCAACCTGAATTTTGATTTTTAAACTATCTTTGTTGCCTGGGGTGTGCAGCATTTGAAAACCATGGTTAAATATTGGCTGAGATGCCTATCAACAAGTCGACCTAGCTTCCCCGCCCAATATTGTAATCGAAAATATTGTTTTTGTACATGAAATTATTGTTTTTAGAACGATAAAAACAAGTAAACTTTTGAAGTATGGCAATTATAAGGAACACTAAAAACCATTTTGACCATCTAGCAATTTGCTGATTTCAAACGTTTTGTAAGAAATGTCATAAACCATGATTTATCATTAAGTGATTTTAATACATCATGGTGATTGGAATAATTTGAATGCAATCTAGAAAACTTTCGTAAAGAAAAGCAATGGACTAAATTGTGAAATCCCCACTGTTTTGAAATTGATAGCTCTATTAGTTTTTGCAAAATATTCCATTGGAGGAATGATAGAAATAAAATAATGCAGGTTACAATCGAATTCTTATCTTGAAAAATTGAATGGGTTGGTGGGACATTCAAGAGAAGGCTTTTAGATTGAAATTTAAAATTTAGAATGCCTCTAGAGGCTTTTGAAATTTTTTTTCCACTTTTAAGACCATTATAAGTAAATTTTATTCCATATTATACGAATGTCAAGGTAAACCTGCTGAAACATTTAGTATACAAGGTTGATTATAATGAGAAATGAATCCAGAACATCTGTTGTTGTAGTTGTCCTTAAGCTCGTTTGACCCCTGGTGATGTTATGAACCTGACGTCTCCATTCAGCTCTATTTTTAGTGTCTTTGTTGAGCTGATAAACATTTCTTGTTGTCATCGCCTTAATGTTGTCAAACCACTTTGTTGCAGGTCTTCCTCTACCTCTTTTCCCTTCAATTTTTCCTTGCATTATCAGTTTTTCTAAACTGTTGTCTGCTCTATTTATGTGGCCATAATAGGTTAATTGCCTCTTTCTGATGGTGTTGAATAATGATCTTTCTGTTTTTATTTGGCCTAGTACCCATTCATTCGTTCTTCTAGATGTCCACGGCACCCTTAGGAGTCTTCTCCATACCCAAAGTTCAAAGGCAAAGGACTTTCAAATCTTTTCAACTTTCTCTTCTATGACCCATTGTCTCTACTTCCCATATGTAACAAACAGGAAATATAAAATGCTCGATATTCTTAATCTATTGGTATTTAGTGTGATGTTTGTTTTTCAATTAATCGTTGCAAATTGGTCAAGCCTTGAACGCTAAAGATACAGATTATAGACGGCATTTTAACAACACAAATACGAAGCAAGTTAGCATCAAACATTAGTTTTTTGGCTCTTGCTGATTGTGGTATCTATGTCAGGTTGTCCGGAATATTTGTAAAGCCTTGGATACATTTTTGTAAAGCATCCATAGAAGATCACGTGATCGAATGTATCGTCTAATTTTCCTCACGGGTCAATAAAATTTTTAGATCGTTATTTGTTCTTTGAAAAATCGCTCCAAACCATCTGTTGAGTATTTGCTAATAGGAAGCAATAAACGTTTTTAAAGACATTATTATATATCTAAGTGCAGCACCTATGGCAGATAACAGATTAATGCGCTATGTTAATGTTTGACATCTGATAACGTCATCTAAACAAAATACGCTGGTTTTTGTAGTCTATTACAATTCGCTACGATGAGTAATTTCTAACGCGTGGCGTCAGTATGGTCATTAATTTTAGGTTGCTTTACTCCATCGATTTTTGAAAGGTTTTTGACCTTTTGAGGTTATTTCTGCTTAAATCACAATGAATTGTCTATTTTGAGCTTGAACATTATTTGTAACGCAGCCCTGGTGAATAGTTCTCACCAGTTATTGCCTTTGCAGTACACACCACACACGCATTACCCCCAAACGTGAAAGTGCCTTTTTCTTTTATCTCCTAACATATATTTTTTGAGAACAAAAAAAGCCTTATTACATTTGAAACAGAAATAAAGGAGAAGGCGAGTTTCGAGCAGCAAATGAAAAGACGGTACGGATTCGGTCTGATTGGTGCGCACTACGGGAATACTTATACTACCACAACTTTACAGCAGCTTAGAAATAGCAATATTAATAGCACTTTA